TTGGTTACCATGGTATCGGAGGACTCGGCGCACGCGGCCACGCGCAGCGCTTCACTTCACTTAATTACGAACACCTGACCTGCAGTGCAGCAGAATTCAGAGGTAAGCGTGTTTTTAGATGCTTTAATGTTTTATTTACCCCCCGATTTTGTTTTACACACAGTGTATCTTAAATGTGACTTAGTGTAGTGTTTCGAATTTTGAAGCATTTAAAACTTTCCAGTTTGGTTTAGTTTGCGCTCCGGTGACGCAGATAACCTCGAGGTAATGTTACATGTTTAACGTTAGTCTAAATGAGCGTTTTTATGGCAAATTCAAAGCGATAAACTCCAAACGCAGTTTAAAGTTACTGAGCAACGTTATAAAACAATATCATTTTTATACGCTGTATTATTAGTGTTATTATTACAAAGTGAACTGCTTTCGTTTCACTGTTGTTGTTGTTTTTGCTTTTAGACATGTAACTTAACGTACTCCAGAGACGCACTAACTTGCACAGCATTGAATGGAAAAGGCTTTGTCCATGTAAGTTTACTTTACCTTTAACTAAGCTAGCCTATCTGTTAAATCTTCTTGTTGCTTTGGTTGGTGATATTCTCTTTCTAATCTGTTTGTTTATTGATTGTTAGGCTATGTTGTGATATTATATTGTTATATTGATATTATTATTGTGAAATCATGTTGTGATGTTACTATGTGACAGTATTGGGGAGCAAATATGTATTTAGTGAGAAATTAATGTTTAAATTACACTTTGTATAGTAGCAGATAAGAGGTGTAATGGGTTTTAACTTTCTGGGTTTTCTGGAAGGTCCAGTTGAGGGCATCAAGAACACGCAGATGGCCTAAACCTGTGTCAGCCTGGACAGACTGCAGTTCTGCTACTCCACGCCAAGGCTTTTGTATGGATGTCTGACTACTACTGACTACTGTGTTCTCTAAAGGTATTACTGGAGCAAAACAACAGCACCCGTTACAGTGAAATTTGTATTCATAAAAATAGTGATACATGTGTAGCAGGTCCAGTACATGTGATGTCATTGAGAAGTTGTTTTTATTAAATGTCATTAAAACAAATAAATAAACATGCTATTTAAATAAATCTAAATATTAAAAACTTGAGGATTAAGAAGAAATTAAATGCATCATCTGTCTTGCGAAAAGGGTCTACTTAAGAATTCTGGTGTTTCCCAACTGAAAGGGATAATTCACCCAAGAATGAAAATTTACTCACATTTTACTCCCCAAATGGTTTAAAACCATTATGAGTTTATTTTGTTGAACACAAAAGAGGCTATTCTGAAAAAAAAAACTCAAAACCTGTAAACATTGACCTCCATAGTAGAAAAAAATACTATAGAATTCAATGGTTATAGATTTGCAGCATTCTTCAAAATATCTTCTTTTGTGTCCAATGTGGTCAGTAAATGACGACAGAATACAAATTTTAAACTATCTCTTTAATTTTCTGTCCTACATGCAGACTTTTGCAGAAGTGCTACTCCTTCTAGAGTTTTTCTCAACCATATGTCTAAAAAGCTTTAAACAGCTTTTACAGTACATGTAATGGTTCACAACAACTTGTAATTATTAAATGTGTTGAATGTTTTATGGTTCTTTACTGCAGCCTTTGTTAAAAAAAAAAGAAAAGAAATTTTTTCGAGAATCTGAAATTTGAATTCTGGAAATGCTGGCACCGGTGGTGGCGAAGGGCTTCCTGACGACATCACACCTAATTCTTCACTTCTCTTAGTTAGGAATATTCAGATGTATGAGTCAAAATTATTGAGTGTGGCGATTTATTATAAGACAAATTTGGATTCAATAAAAAATAAATATTTGAATTTCACTTTGTATAATAGCAGAAACCAACTTAATTGTAACCTCGTATTTCATTTATTGCAGGTTTTCTGGAAGCTCCATTTGAGGGCATCAAGGACATACTGATGGCCTAAACCAGTGTCAGCCTAGACAGACAGACATCTATTGCAGTTCTGCTACACAAGACCAAACTCTCTGCTTTTGTATGGATGTCTGACTAGTACAGTGTTCTCTGAAGGTATAACTGGAGCAAAACAACAGCATCCGTTACAGTGAAATTTGTGTTCATAAAAGATAGTGATATATGTGTAACAGGTCCAGTACATTTGTCATAAAGGTTAAATCACAGTAAGTACTGTAAAAATAACTTGTTTGCCTTTGCCACAACAGGTCATGGTGTGTGCTTACCTGTAGTAAACACACACGCTGATCTGATGCGGGAGAGATATATGCAAACATATTTGTATTTACTGTTTTGTTTTGCCTCACTAAAGTGTTGTTGGAGCTTGGTATGTTCACAGTTGAAATTACTGAAGTCACATGGAACGTTTTGACAATGTGTTTTGTGCCTTATCTGGACAATGACCATCTTGGGACCATTGCTGTCTGTAGAGGATGAGGAGCATTTAATCTAAAATATTTTAGTTTGTGTTCTGAAGATTAACAGGTCTCTGGGATGACACAAGTAATTAATAACAGAACCTATATGAACACTTAATGTGACATGTAATAGTGAAATAGTGGTCCTACATTCAAAAATGTGAGCCATTATTATAAGACCCATGTGAACATGCAATTTTTATGATACTAATAATAATGGAATAACAAATTGCTATTACTGTTGTGTTTGTGAGAGAGAATCAAACCATATATTCTACACATTTTCTTGATGATTTACTGAAATATTTGTCTACATGTTCCACTGTCACAGGTGCTCAGTTTTGCTGCAGTAATGCTAAACACAATAGATGTACTTTATGCAAAAAAAAAAACTACTAAATATTTAGCATGCAGACCTGCAAAGTAAAGGAGTAATGTCAGGTTAAGATTATAGCATGAGTTTTCACTATTGTGAATGTGAAGCCATTCATTCACAATGAATTGGAATAGCAAACCTCATTATTGATTTTGTAGGAAACTCACCTGGTGTTTGAGAAATAAATATGTATTTAACTGCTAGACTGATATAGATGTTTTAGTGTTTTACACTTGATTCTTTGTCCCCAGTGCCATCTTTTACCTCGTGTTTCTCCCAACCTATAAAACCTCAAACAGATGTAATGCATTTCACTTGTGATTCTTAGTTGTGAGTGATGTTTTTTTTTTTTTTTTTTTTTTTTTTTTTTTTTTACTGCAGCCACTTTAAAAATGGGTATTTTGTAAACTTTGTAAACGGAATTGTATTTTGGAGACTGTGATGGTTGAAGCGTAGTTTAGTTACTTAGTTTAATTTAGTTAGCATCTGTCTTTCTGAAGACGGTAACACTTTACAAAAAGGTTGTATTAGTAAGTGTTAATGTATTTACTAACATGAATAAAGAACAATGAATCTTTCATATAAAGAAAGTACAGTTCATGTCAGCTCAGTGCATTAATGTTAACAAGCATACATTTTGATTTTAATAGCATCGGGACATATTTAAATTAATTAAATGATTAATAAATGCTGTACAAGTATTTGTTCTTTGTTCATGTTAGTAAACATTAACTAACTTTAATTCATGAAACCTAATTAAAAAGTGACTCTTTAATTGTATGCCTTTTTCTGTATTTGAGTGTACAGCATGTATAGTAACCTGCATGGTTTTGATGAACTGTATGCTGTAAATGTTGCTGTATATTTAGAATAAATGAAATAATGAGGTGTGTATTAAATAAATTGATACACAAGCTAAGTTGTGTATTTTTGTTGTGTATTTTTATTAGTAAAAATTGTTTGCTATATTTATGGACTTTGCGTTGTATGTAATTTCTATTTAACTTGCGTTGAAATGTATGACGGTGAAACAACGTCACGGTATCAACGTTGATCCAATTTGCAAAATCGAAAGGTAATTCAACCTTCATTCAACGTCTACAAAACGACCACAATTCACCCATGAAGAAGGTAAGAGTGAAACAACGTTGTGATTTCAACGGTGAATCACCGGTGGTGGTCCGACGGTGAAACAACGTCACTATATAAACGTTGATCCAATTTGCAAAATCGAAAGGTAATTCAACGTTGATCCAACCATAGACCTGACGTTGATTCAACGTTGAATCACCGTTGAAATGCCGGCTGGGAATGCATATATCTTAACTACAACAAACTCTGTACCGCATCGGATGTCATTCCCTCGCTGTGAATGCAAGCGCTCCCGTTTTTTTTCTTCCACCTCCCTGCGCGCGCATCCTGAATGTTTACAAACATGGTAACTCGTCTATAGTTTTGATCTTTGGTTTCATTCTGTAATACTGGACTTTTTTTGTAAGAAGGTTTTAACTTTGAGAGTATTTAAACAAAAGAAAAGTGTGAAAATGTTAATGCCTGTCTGAGAAAAGTGTGTGTAACGTTAGTGAGGGGAAAAAAAACATAATAAAGCTGACTTCCCGAATTTCACCTGTTGTGGAATATTTTTAGAACGTAATGAGAGACCACTGTATTTTGGTAGTCAATGAAAGTAGACGTAGAGGATAAATGAGAATGTCAGATTAAATACAGAGGTAGTAACTAAAGAATAAACAATAGGCTACCTAAAAAAATAGTACTTAATGCTAGTATTTACAATGAACAATAGTAACGTTAAATGTAACATAAAAAGTCCCAATCAACTTTTTCTGATTTTTGAAACTAATTTGGGGACTTTATGTTAAAACCGCTTGCCATACAACGTCAAGCTGTGCAACTAGTTTACTTCTCCAAGAGCATTGCGCATGGATTCTCCTTAACATGCATGGAAAGTTTCCAAAAACAAAAAAAGAGAAAAAACAAACAAAAAAGTCCAACACTAGGTGGCATTTATAGTTATAGAAAATATATTTGATATTTACAAAATGTGCATGCAAAATACTTAGAATATCTACAATGTAAAACGCCAAGAATTACTTCACCATTGCGTATAACTATGATCTAATAAACGTGCAAGTACAGTGTGTTATTCGAGTCCAGCTCGGCTCAGGTTGCAGTGGGCGTCGTTTTAAGTTTATGTTGAGTTTATGTTGCTACAGCAACCGTTTTGCGCGGCAGAAATCTGTATAACGTTAGGCAAATTTTGGACCACAGTATTTTGTCACACATGGACGCTGTCGAAAAGAGGATAAACAGCATTGCGGATGAAGCCGAGGATGCGCTGATTTCACAAGAGATTGAGGAAATACATCGGTAAGACGTTTTGTTGTTGTTGCTTACATTAACACCAAACAAGCATGCAAAGTTTAGACCACAGAACCAAGACCAACTGTGAACTGTGAATGATCTTTCAGAGTTCTTCGCGCTCTTTTTGCCTCGCCAGGTACTCTCTGTCAAATCAGCTGAGGACAGGTTTGTTTGGACGAGACGCGTGTATTCAAACCGACGAGTCAGAGCTGCCAAATATAAAGATTCTCGCTGCCAATGCCGAAGAGCTTACGAAGGTCAGTGTCGGTCTGCTGTAGTCACATCAATGATCAGCAATAAATGGTATTGTAGCACTTCATTTCTTTTTTTTAACCACAAACGGAAGTAATCTGTCGCTGTCAGTCAAGCTGAAACCATCGTTATAAATACCAGTTTGTTTTGCTTTCAACAAGACGCTGATAGTCAGTGCATTCCGCTAGATATACTGAGTGAATTCATTCATGCTGCTGGCTTTTCATCTTATTAGTTAAGTTCAGCTCTGAGTGGCTCGCTGTGGGCTGCCCAGGTCACCCGCTGAGAGTGCATATGGTGGCTTTGTGGTGAAGAACAGTGCCTTCACAAGGAATCCTCTAGCCTGCAGAGTTAAACATATTGATTAGCAGGCTTGTGGCTGAATAAGTGCTCTAAATGCATGTTCTAGTTCTATCACTCACACTGTAGAATGGTAACGTTAAATACTTCCTGTACATTCATGTGATGGGTGCATTAAAAACAACATCATTCATTTATGGCTGGAAAATGAAGCTTTCCTACTTAATCGAAAGAAAAAAGAGAGGTAGTCCTACTTATTTGAATGTAACGTTAGAGTAGAAAGTTTTTCTTTTTAACATTTTTTTATTTTGATGATGATTTTGTCCATTTGAATATAAGAAGGCACCGCTTTAGTTGCTAGTGTAATTACATTTTGCAGTTCTGTTACATACCCAGTTGTAACATATTTGATTTGATAACAGGAGATTTGTGTGTTAAAAGAACACACTGAAAAGAAGCTGAAAATGATACAGTTTCAGTATGAGACCAAACTGCAAGAAGAAGCAGATGCCCTATATGACAATTTGACTGAAAAGATCAAGAATGTGGAAAACGGTCATAAAGAGGTTTGTATACATTGCTGTACATATGTTACCAATAATTATGTTGTTTTCTATCCTCATTTCAATTTCTATCCTCAATTCACTAAGTAATTTTTTATTTTCAGAAAATATCAGTTCTTCGGAGAAGCTATCAGCAGCAGCTCTCTAATGCTGTGCAGGTGATCAGAGCCAGCTATAAGGTGAGGTTTTAATGAATCTGGAATATCAACAACAGGTGATTTTGTGATGCAAAGTTTAAGATGAAATTGACTATGAAATCTTGTATAAGAATAAAGGTGAGGTGGATCTGGATTGTGATGATACTGATGGAGCAGTAAATAACCTTCTGAATGAGCTTCAAGAGAAGAACCTGAAGATTGAGTGCATGAGTGAGCAGCTGAAGAAATATGAGGTATGAACTCACTGCTGTACAACACAGAAAACAATGATCCATTTAATTTGTACACTACCTGAAAAAGTCTTGTTCTTGATCCCAGTTGTTAGAGTAACAAATAATAACTTGACTTCTAGTTGATCATTTGGAAAAGTGGCAGAAGGTAGATTTTTCTGAGGAATCATTTGTTAAACTGCATCCCAATCATCACAAGTACTGCAGAAGATATTTTGGAACCCGCAAGGACCCAAGATTCTCATAGAAATCAGTCTAGTTTGGTGAAATAAAAATCATGGTTTGGGGTTGCATTCGGTATGTGGGCCTGCAAGAAATCTGCAGAGTGGATAACAACATCAGCAGCCTAAGGTATCAAGACATTTGTGCTGCCTAATACATTACAAACCACAGGAGAGGGCAAATTCTTCAGCAGGATAGTGCTCCTTCTCATACTTCAGCCTCCACATCAAAGTTTCTGAAAGCAAAGAAGGTCAAGGTGCTCTGGGATTGGCCAGCCCAGTCACCAGATATGAACATTACTGAGCACGTCTGGGGTAAGATGGGGAAGGCATTGAAGATAAATCCAAAGAATCTTGTTGAATTCTGGGGGTCATGCAAGAATGCTTTCTTTGCCATTCCAGATTACTTCATTAATAAGTTATTTGAGTCATTGCAGAGATGTATGGATGCAGTCCTCCAAGCTCATGGGAGTCATACACAATATTAACTCTTTTTCCACTGCACCATGACTTTATATTTTATACTGTACATTATTTCTGTTAAGAGACAAAACTTTTGTCTAAGCAAAGTCAGACCTTACTGTCATAATTAAATAATTCAAAATCAAGCCATAATCATATTTTATTTTGGTAAAATAAGCGTAATCTAGAGGCCTTCCTTTCATATAAGCCACTTCTGATGCCAAATGATCAACTAGAAGTCAAGTTATTTGTAGTTCCTAAAACTTGGAAAGGCGACAAGACTTTTGTCATCTAGTGTGTAATAAAGAATAGCTAATAAAAGCAACAAAGAAATACGGTAAAAATAGGTGTGTGTGTGTGTGTGTGTGGCAATTGGTGTCACGTCCTTTAATAATCGTTTTGTTAAGATGGCTTACTGCTCAATAATGTTTTTTAAACTTTAGTTTAATATTTGTTTAATCTGATTAATATGCTAAAAAAATAACCACATTACACCAGTCTTATGCTCTTTCCTTCTTACCTGTTAGACCTGTTAACTGAAGGTCAGCCTGATTGGTCTCTTCAGGCATCTAACCAGAGACTGTTATGCATCCCACAGTCGAGGCTGAAATGCTGACCGTTCTTTCTCAGTTGCTGGTCCTACCTTGGGAAATGCTTTGCTCCTCTGTATTAGGTCTATATCATCTCTGTCTGTTTTTAAATCTAGGTTGAAAACGTACCTTTTTAATTTGGCATTTTATCAGTGAGAATTATTTGTTTTACTATAATAATTATTAGTAGGAATTGTTTGTTTTAGGTATTATTTTATACCTTTCTCTTTGTGATTTGCATTGTGCAGTACATTGGTCAACCTTTGGTTGTGTTTAATAGTGCTAGATATAATAAAATTCACATTGACATTTGGGGCGTTGCGGTGATGCAGTGGTTGGCACAGTCGCCTTACACCAAGAAGGTTGCTGGTTCGAGCCTCGGCTGGGTCAGTTGGCGTTTTTGTGTTGAGTTTGCATGTCCTCGCAGTGTTTGTGTGGGTTTACTCCGGGTGCTCCAGTTCCCCCCACAGTCCAAAAACCTGCAGTACAGGTGCATTGAATTAGCTAAAATGGCCGTTGTGTATGTGTATTATGAAAGAGTGTAATGGTGTTTCTCAGTGCTGGGTTGTGGCTGGAAGGGCATCCGCTGCGTAAAACATATGGTGGATCATTTTGATCTCTTACCATCCTTGCTGAACAAATAAAATTTATTTCATGCAAATATATATTTATAATTTATTAATATAAATTATTGCACTTTTTAATTCTTTCATGAAAGCCTTGGCAATAAACAATTGCTTGGCCAGTGGAGCTTTTATAATAATGACGTCAATATGATTCTTGATTGCTTAAATCTCATCCTGCTTGTGTTGTCATTGACCAACAGGATGGTAATTATTATTTAGTCGCCTACTCTAGTATGGCCTGAAGTGCACTTGGGAGTGGCCCAGCCCATGACAATACACTAATAAGCAGGTTCTTGCTTTCCACAAAGTGAAATCAATTGCTCACCTTTATGCCCTTGAGTAAGGGGTTTACATGCAGCATGAATGAGCTATCAGGTGCCAATAAGTGAGGTGTCTATTATTGGCCCTTTTTAATAGACTGGCCCTCACACTCCCAGGCTGAGAGAGATATCTCTCACCCTTAGTGTCTGAGCTCTGTCCAACCAAAACGGCTCCTTGTGTAGGCAGATGGCCGGGAGAACAGCCATACAAAACCTGCCACTCAAAGTGTAACAAATGAGCGCAGCCCGGCAGAGTTTGAGCTTTGTTCATTGTGCTAATGAGAACTCTCACAACCACAGGAGAGATGCATGGATAATCACCTGTAGTTCTGGTACTGCAGCAGATGGTGGAGCCAGAGTTAAAGGTTGGGGTGTTCAAACGGGTCAAGGTCTTTTTTCCCCCTTCGAGTAACTTTGAATGAATTCATAATAAGTTTAGAATATTTTCCTCTTACCTGCATTTGACAAAAAATAATGGCAATGTAACAGGGATAGAAGGATAATGTGACAGTTTTCTGTTATGTTGGATGCACTGATGTCCGTTCCTGTTTGTGACAGAGTAGTCCTCTGGTTGATGACTACATCTTGTCATCATCATTTGACTGTCACACTTAATGACTTGCATTGATAACTAGGCATGGGACAATACTGTTTTTCAAGGTTTGGAAAAGTCAGGGTTTTAAAATTTGCTGCTGTACCATTCCTAAGGTATGTGTAAGATTTTTGATTTACGTTTTTTTATTTGTTTTAAGGGACAACAGTATCTGCAGCCGAAAAGATATCCAAAGATGCCGTTTTGAATTGTAAAGAAATCTGTTTTTGAAACTAATGAAGACAGCAGAAGGCATCACGCTGGCGCAGTGGTTAGCACAATTACCTGACAGCAAAAAGGTTGCTGGTTCGAGCCCAGGCTGGGTCAGTTGGCATATCTGTGTGGAGTTAGCATGTTCTCCCCTCGTTCGCGTGGGTTTCCACCAGGTGCCCCTACAGTCTAAAGACGTGCGGTACAGGTGAATTGAAAAACCAAATTGGTCATAGTGTATGAGTGTGAATGCATGAGTGTATGGGTGTTTCCCAGTGTTGGGTTGTGGCTGGAAGAGCATCCGGTGCGTAAAACATATGCTGGATACATTGGTGGTTCATTCCGCTGTGGTGACCCCTGATAAATAAAGGGACTAAGCCGAAAAGAAAATGAATGAAAGAATAAATGAAGTCAATGATTGATTTGAATTATTTACAGGGTCCCCGCGGGTCCTTAAAAAGTCTTAAAATGTCTTAAATAAAATTTTCGATTTTTAAGGTCTGAAAATGTCTTAAATTCTGTAATTTTCCATAAGGAGGTCTTAAATTTCATGTGGGATCTTAAATATCATGTCCGACTCGTCTTATGGCGGCAAATCAATGGCAATATAAATCGAGCGCAGCGGTGATGTTTGCGCGTGAGGAGAAGTGAACCGTGAGCAGATTACAGGTCTACACGCGAGAAAATTACAGCTCGCGAGCGCACAGGGGATGTTCACGCGCGCGCTCAACTGATCCAGCGCGAGAAAACAAGTCCCGCGCGTGCACATTATCATCTGTGCGCACGATGTACGCTCTCGCGAGCGAGGTCATGCCTACAGCGCGCGCGCGATCAGTTCTCTCCGCTTGCTCGCTGGTTCTTCTCTCTGCTCGCGCGAAACAGTTCAGATTTTTGTGAGTCCTAGGGCGGGACTTGGTTTTCTTGTTATCTCTAACGCTATTGGCTACTCTACCTTTCCAGAAGTTAGCCGGGATTGGACGCAGGTAAGCTAGTTTCCCCGTTAAATAAAATTATATAGGAAATCTTATCATAATGTCACAGTGTGAAACATAGACTTACTTTCTCAGTAATAATAGGTGGAGACTTACTTTCAATAATGAGATATTTTTTGTAATAATTAATCTCATAATAATGCCTATTCTTACCATCATGACCAAGTCATATAATGACATATCAAAATAATGAGATATATTTCTGTAACAAACTTTATTACTTGGGAGAGAAAGAGAGAGTTATACCATGTGGCAAAAGATCTCTCCATTAAACAGAAATTGGGGAAAATATACATGGGCTATTAAATCAGGACGAATAATTCAGACTTTAAATGTGTTTTGAACCATTTGATGAAGTTTAGCACCTACATTTAAACTGAACTCAAACTAAACGTGTTCAAATTTACAAAAATCTTTTTTTTTTTCTAAGATTCATTGTCCTTGACTCATTTTCTGTGAAGAACAAGTCAGAATAAATTGGATGGACAATAGTATACAAACTAGGCTATACATGCATGCAGTGCATAAAGTACAAAGGTTTATAGTAAATATATTGCCATTAGTCTGTTATTCCACTATACAGTTAAAGTCAGATTTATTAGCCCGCCTGAATTAATAGCCCCCTGTTTATTTTTATCCTAATTTTTATTTAACGGAGAGAAGATTTTTTTCAACACATTTCTAAACATTATAGTTTTAATTACTCATTTCTAATAACTGATTTATTTTATCTTTGCCATGATGACAGTAAATAATATTAGACTAGATATTCTTCAAGACACTTCTATACAGCTTAAAGTGACATTTAAAGGCTTAACTAGGTTAACTAGGCAGGGTAATTGGGCAAGTTATTGTATAACGATGGTTTGTTCTGTAGACTTTTGAAAAAAGTAAATAGGTTAAAGAGGGTAATAATATGGACCTTAAAATGGGTTTTAAAAAATTAAAACAGCTTTTATTCTTGCCGAAATAAAACAAGAAAAAAGTGGGCTACTAATTTTGACTTCAACTGCATATGTGACCTTTAAGATGTGGGCCTGTCGTATAGAAAGTAGTATTTGTATGCCTCTGAAGTGGAATGATGTAATGGATAGTGAGTAAAGCCAAACGAAGATTGTAGAAATTAAATTGTTGCTCAATAGGTGGCGATAAAAACCCATCTGAATGTCTGTCACTGTATTTTTTATGTTTAATTGGGCTAATCATTTTTGATTGAAGTCTTTATATGCAGGTTATTCAATCATTAACTAAAAATGAGATTGAAAATATATATATAATATATATAGATATATATATTTTACACTGATCTATATTACAAACAATGTTAACAATTATCTATAAAGATAAATTAATTATAATTATCTATAAAGATCTAAAACGCAAATAAACTCTTCTGAAGACAATATTTCCTAGAAAGATCATCCCCAAGTGTAATAATGAGCACTGCTGTTGTGGTTAATAATGAAGTAAAATACAACAAACCAGACAAGTGCTGCACGGACAAATCAAATGGGTTCAGAAAGTCGTGTTACAAGAATGCAAGTCATTATTTTAGAAGATTAATTTTTATTATTTGACTGTTTCTCGAGATTGAATCCTCATAAAGTTCAGAAAGTTCTCAGAAAGTTTCTTATGATTATGACTTGCAAATTGTATATATATTTAACGGCATGATCTTTTAACTTGCGTCCAATCCCGGCTAACTTCCGGAAAGGCACAGTAGCCAATAGCGTTAGAGATAACAAGTAAACCAAGTCAACCAAGTAATCTGCTCACGGTTCACTTCTCCTCGCGCGCAAACATCACCGCTGCGCTCGATTTATATTGCCATTGATTTGCCGCCATAGATTTGCCGCCATACTTCACCACATCATTCTGTGTTCACACTGAACATTTTCCTGTTTTTTTTTTTTTAGGTAAAGTCTTAAATTTTCATTTTAGAGGACTTAAAAAGGTCTTAAAAGGTCTTAAATTTTCTGTTAAAAAATGTGCAGATACCCTGATTTAGCATGAAATGTTTACTGCTTCGAAATATTTTAAATGTTTCTCAAAATAAAATATATTGACTGCGTTTGAAAACACCTACTACTCAGTAGGTACTGCATTTGAATTTAAACATACTACTAGGCTGCTAGAAAAGTACGTTTTATAAGGATGAATATGAATGTGTGTATGAACAGTATGAATGTGAGAAGTATGAATGGAATTTGGACATACTACATCCACCATGTTATTATCATCACATGACCTACCTGCGCCAGTTGCGATGCTTCACTCCCATTCATGAATTCTCTCATGGGGCATCATGGGATAGCGCAGGGTGCATGGGATGCGTGCTTCAGAATCTCGCTGGAAGTAGTAAGTCATCCGGGTACTTCTCGCATACTGATTTTCAAATTCTATGAATTCGGGCATAGTACTTGGCTTGCATACTGATTTAGCATACTATATAGTATGGAAGTATGCGGTTTCGGACAAAGCCATTGTATTTAAGATGGAAAAAAGATTGTTTTTTTTATCCAGACATTTAAAAAAGAATATATTTTAGAGCATTAATCACAACACCGTGAAACAGTGATATTTTTATCCAAGGTTATCATATAGTCAGAACGTTATACTGGCCCATGCCTATTGATAACACTTGACTCTTTATTTGGGTATTAGGCTGAATCTAAATCTGTAAACATCTGGCTTACTTTGCTATGTTATAAATTGGAGCTTTTCATTTATTGTATCCACTTATATGCGTCTTGCCAAGCTTATAGGCTATTCACACCAAGGACTAAATTTACTCAATCTTTACTTATCTCTTTAACCTTTACAAGTTTTTTTATTCTGCTGAACACAAAGGAAGATATTTTGAAGTAAAGAAAAAAAAACATTGACCACCATAGTAGGAAAAAAATGCTGTAGAAGTCAATGGTTACAGGTGTTTGGGTTTTCTTCAAAAGAAGAAACAAACCCATAAAGTTTTGGATTGACTAGAGCGTGAGTACATTTTTAATTTTGTCTGAACTATCTCTTTTATTATCCCAATTGATATATAAAACAATTGCTTTGATAACAATAACACGTACCCTTTCTAACATCTATCTGTAAAAACTTTATACTGATTAGGCTAACTGGCATTTGCAATTGTATTTACACATTGATAGTGCTTTTATTACTTTATTACTGATTTCTACTATTACATACTATTGAGTAACTTTGGATAAAAGGTCAAATGGTTAAATGTAAATGTAAAGCGCTCAACCATTTAAAGGCCCATTTATATCATACCAACAGGCGGCAAACGCTCTTCCTGGGGTTTGTTTGTGTCAGTGTGGTACCCCTTGTTGGTGTCTGTTGGCATTTGTCTCTGAGTTTGTTTTCACTGAATTGGCACATGTTTGGTTTAGAAGTGACGTTCTGTAATCTTGTATTTATGCTTGTTTGTAGGCGGTGTGAATTGGCTTTAAAGTGACAGATGACTGCAGTATGCATTATTATAAACAGAACATTACTATGCGTTATTGTGGATGCTGATATAGTCATTGTTCTTGGTATGACCATGCCTTTATTCAAGATCCCTCTGAATGCAACAAAAAAAAATGCAAATAAACTTATAGCAATCAAAACCTCTTTATGATTGCAGTTTACTTTCCTCATGAATGAAAGAGAGAGAAGAAAGTGCAAAAAGAAAACCCTTTGAAAGCCTTTGAACGCCTGCACAATCTTAAGTGTGACAGGCATGCAAAGGCCCTGTTAATGTTTGGGGCATGAATGGTGGATGCAGTACAAAGATGAGGGCCAACTGCGTGGATATCACAGGAACCTGATGGGCTCCATGCGGCTCCCAGTCTGCAAACTTCAGCACGCTGACATGTGATGTGATCCTGGTGACACTGGCAGCGCTGCTACTGAGGGACAGCACAAAGACAACAAGCTCCCCCCTGGAAACAGTGCTCTCTGCGAACCCCCTGGGGCTGCTCAGCCATCCTCCAGTCCCCCCTCACAGCCTGCCTCTGCCCAGCTTGTTAGAAAGCAGAGCCCAGACTGTGGGTGGATAGGCCCCAGCTGCCTTCCCTGACTTCCAGAATAAATTGACCTGAATGACAGGGGCACACAAACAGTATGATATGTATTATTCCTGTCAATAAAAATGTCCCCATGAATTATAGGCTTTGTATGTAATGTACTGCCGTCTTTCTTCCGGGAAAGAAGAAAAGGCCAAAAGGGAGAGGAGGAGAAAAATAAAAGAAGAAGAGATCGCCTTCTTCTAAGCGTGTTTGCTTTTTTTTGTTTCTCGCTTTTTATTATTCAGGGGGAAATGGTAGGAGGCAGAAAGTTGTACGATTGCTTTGTGCCTGAATGGCACTCATATTTGCCACGCAGCTTGAGCGGCGTGGCTTTTGTTTTGCGCTGTAAAGGGAAAGCTAAAAAGGACTTGTGTCATTTTTCAGATCGCCTCTGAGGGAGCGGAGGACCCCGAAAAAAGCAGACTGATGTCAGAGAATGAAAAGCTGAAAGATAACATTGACTCGTTGCACGTCGAGCTGCAAGAAATTCACCAAGTTCTGGAATCCAAAGAGCAGAAGCTGGGTAATACTGGATAATTTATTAGGTTCTGTTTAAAAGAGGGCCATGAACTACTTTTTTATTTTTTATTTGACATTTTGTTAAGATTTTGGTAACAATTTAGTTAAATTACCAATTCCCTCTTTTACCTGGGGTATTACCTGCCTATTATTAGGATGTTGGCTGTTTATTAGTACTTATAAAGCAGGGGTTCTTAATGTCTATACTAAAAAGTCCAAATCTAAATTTTTATTAAGGTCAAAAGTCAAAGTCAACAATTTATATTACATAACTTGTTTTTAATAAACACCCATGACATGCATCTCAACACTATTTTTTTTAAATAAAGTGGCATTTGCATTCATAACACGTTAAATACAATGCAAATGAAGCAAAACCATTAATCTAAGTGCATTTTTGTACAAAACACAACAAAAAGTAGGTACAATAGTATTTGGATGCAGCCATAATAATGCAAGCTGAGATTACATCTCAGAGATGCAATGCCAGACACAATGCACTCTCTGGAACTACTGACGTCACTGAGGAGTAGTGTTAGTTGTGGGCATTAAAAAGCATTGCATGCAGGCATTAGGAATATAGAATAAGATCATACTTTATAATATAAAGTTTTAGCCTGTTTTAGCCTGTTAGCTGTCCTGTTTTATCTTCATTAGAACACACAGTACAACGTAGCATGGTGAAATGTAGACATTGAAGTAAATGCCCACTGATATTATTGGGTAACTCTTTTAATTTTTGTAGGTCTTTTAACCTGCAAAAAAAACAACTTTCTTGATAGGTTGCTGCTGAGATTTAGGTTAAAAAAGCTTAAATATTGAATACATATTCAATTAGGTGTACTAACAAACAATGCAATAGTGACCACATAATAAAATATATTACTCAAGCGGACACAGCATAGTTGGCACAGCATTTTCCAGCAAACAAAAATTAATCCACACTTTCTTAATGTTAGCATCAGGAAAGATGACAATGCAAAAACTTACCAATGGACAACATATTGTTGTAGTTGGTTTCTGAGTAGTTCTTGTGTTTGTCATGCAGAACTAAACAAAAAATGTCATTGGTCAAGCCACACTATAATGCAATAAAGTGACACTTTTCACAACTCATTTTGGCAGTCTGATTTTATACTAACAAGTTAGTTTTAAGCTCTGAGTACTGGATGTTTTTAATAATAGAGTGACCTCTCCCATGTCAAAAGATCAAGGGAATTTTGCCTTCTCTGTTCATGGCCCCTTTAGAAATGTTTCCAGTGGGTTTTGAACCAAAACCAAACATTAGTCACGAATGCTTGTTTTGGAAATATAGACTTATTCCCTTATCTGTGTTGGTGTGTGAGGTAGTTCGCATTCGGAGCGCAATGTTTGAGGACACTTGTCAGACCATAGCTATCATCTCACACTCTGTGGGAGCCTGAGAGGAGAAAGCAAACATAAGACAGGTGTATTCTCAAGGGTCAGGCCTTTATCTCTCATAGTGTTTGATGTTCATTCATTGCATATGTAACTTTGGTAACCATCTGACTATTTTACGCCACTGTTTTTGGTGATTATGCATGAACACATCTATTTTTGAAATGCATTTTATTGGTACATAAACTCCTTTTATGTATCTCCATTCAGAATGCGAAGAACCATCTGCTAAAACGTTTTCGCATTGGCTGTGACTAAAGATAAGACTGAACAGTTCTTAAGTCTCTATGGAAATAAAAGCACTTGGGCATTAACACACACTTGGCCCTTGAACTTATTGGTTTGTGTTTGGTCAGTGCATGTGAGTGAACGTGTCAACAGCAGTGCTCCAGGTCAGAAGCTTGTCAGGGCCTGGAGCCCGAGCAGGTCATGCAGGCCAGGACTGGACTTCAGTCCACTGACCCAAGCTGCAAAAGATGAACAAAGACAATTGGATGACCTGTCGTTATGCTCCTGATGTCAGTCTTTGTGCCTTTTTTAAATATTGTGAGAAGTTGGGGGAGTAAATATTGCACTGGTTCATCTTTTCAAAACAAATGTTCTCTCTTTCTTTTGTTCATAGCTCTGGATTTGGAACAGCTCAAACTAGAGGCAGATGACAGCAAAAAGGCACTTCAAAAGGTATTATACACAAAGCCCAAAGCATCCTAATTAATGTATTGTTTTTGTTTTATTTATAGCAATTTTCATTTATTTCAGATGACAGGTCAACATGAGCAATTAAAAATGGAGTTAAAAGTTGAAAAAGAAAGCTGCATAGAAAAGGTGAGATTTCATATTGTTAAACGGGTATTCGGATTGACTACAAGTTAGACTTAATCGTTTATTGGTGGTGCTTATATTGTAATACATTAGTTATTGTCTTCAAAAATGTTATTAAAATGGAGAAAAACTAAATGTTAAGATGCTTTCTCGTTAGTACCTTGTAGTCAAACAACATTCACGTTAACAAATTTACTCTGCACTGGAAAAGGCTTTCATTCATCAAATTAAGAAAAAAAATAAGGTAATTGTTCACATCTAAATTTTATCACTTGACTGAATGAAAATTTTAAAATTTGCCTTAAACAATATTTTCTATCTCCATGAGAATTTTTTTATAACCTGGTACAAAGCATATTTGTCTTGTTGAAGAAAGTCAATTGATTTAAGTTTTCTTTTTGTTCTAAACTAGAAGGTATAGCTTTCATCAAAACAACAATTTTCATAAAATGTTCATTTATTCATTCATTCATTTTCTTGTCGGCTTAGTCCCTTTATTAATCCGGGGTCGCCACAGCGGAATGAACCGCTATGGATACCCTTCCAGCCGCAACCCATCTCTGGAAAACATCCACACACACACTTATACATTGAGGACAATTTAGCCTACCCAATTCACCTGTACCACATGTCTTTGGACTGTGGGGGAAACCGGAGCACCCGGAGGTAACCCACGCGAAGGCAGGGAGAACATGCAAACTCCACACAGAAACGCCAACTGAGCCGAGGTTCGAACCAGCTACCCAGCGACCTTCTTGCTGTGAGGCGACAGCACTACCTACTGCGCCACTGCCTCACCCAAAATGTTCATTTATTTAATTAAAAAAATTAGGGTAATGGTTTAGCATTTAAATTTGTTTACTTGAGCCAATGAAAAGTAAATAATTTGCCTTAAACAATATATTTTTAAAGCATATTATAATACTTGCTGTACCTAGGTGGCTTTAATCACAGAGGCCAACTGAAACATAAACTCACAAATTTTATTACAAAAAAAAAAAAGTATTTTAACTAATATAACACATAGGATCATATTCTTGGCACAAAAAAGCGCAAAATGCGATTTGTTGCTATTTTCAAACCAACGCAACCCTAATTTTCCCGTTTTGCACCATGTTATTTAAATAGTAAATTCATTTGTTATCCATGTGTTAGGCGCACTGTTGGTGCATTGCTATTTTGAGGAACTAAAATGAACTGCGTAATTGACCAGTTGAAAGCTGGTCTGAAGTTTAGCACAGAGTGCATTAGTTGTGTGCCTTAAATGCTTACCAATGTCTTAATACACAAAGGATGTACAGCAATACACAAATATCTTTACAAATAAAAAGTAATTCAAGGATTAAAAAATTGCAAAAATGTATATTTTCTACATAAATAAAAAAACACTGCTATCATGCCTTCTTCAACTCGGGGAACTTTTTTAGTTTATTCATGACAATTTGCTATTGTATGATGTTATTATTATTAGCAGTTGTATTTATTATATGCATATTTATATTTGTTTTAATAAAAAGAAAATTTAGATTTGTTCAACTGTTTTGGATATGTATGCATCACCATATGGAGCATAAGAATAGGATGTGTGTTTGGAAATAACCCAGTTTTTTGACCACACTTCGTTATTATTGTTTATTTTTTCATTTGCTGGAAATTAGAACTGAATTTAAAAATATTTTGAAACAAATCTTTGAGCTTTACAAGTGAAATTAAATATGTTGGTTAATTGATGTCTTCAGTGGAGTACGTACAACACTGTTTTCTCATCCACAAAAGTAAAGGAGTAAAGTAGTGTAAAAGTAAACAAAAGAGAAAGTAAAGAGGCTGAATGGAGGAGGCTCGTTCTTTATCCTCCCTGCAAATGGTTTGTTTAACGGTTTTCTTGCTAGTGAAGCATTACGTTTTTCCCCTTAAAAGTCCGCCATGTATGTAGCAAATGCACCATGGTGTGATGGAACTGACTCTTAAAGGGAATGTGAGAAGAGACTCTGATTGATTCATTAAGAGAATAAGCACTACCCTGTTAGATCTTGCTTCGCAGCAAAAAACATATTTTTCCGTCCTTAAAATAGCAAAAGTGGATTCAGACACGCCCTTAAATCTTTTGTGTCATGCACTTTAGACTTTGCGCCTAGATCGTTAAAATAAAGCCCATAAACCAACTCTAAACCTTTTCCCATGATGCACCTGGCTATAGTTATGTGGGCTAGGTCAGTGCTGTATGAGTAACCTTAAAACTTTACATTGGTCAAAACAAATATTTTTAGTTGAGCTCTTAATCAAAAACATTTATATTTAACTATGTTTTGAACTTAAACTATATTACTTGAAAAATAAAACAAATATTAAACTGAAATGAAAGATCATTTTTAATTGGATGAAGTACTGCTTGATTTTTTTTTTTCAGTGTGGAAACCTAATTTACTAAACTTTTCTGTGTACTTATTTATAATTATGCAACTTTTTGATAAGCAAGGCTTGTTGTGAAATAGGGTGAAACAAAAGTGATTGTGACTTTATCTAGAAGTTTTTAACTCTGAATTTAAATGTTGCAATAGTTTGAACTTAAAAATGTAATTGCAATATATACAGTATGAAATATGTGACCCTAAATCAGCCATATACAGTATGTTATATGTCAGTTGTATAAAATCATTCCACTGATGTGGGTTTGTTAGAATATGTACAATATTGGCAGATAAACAACTAATTTTGTAAATTTGGATTCTGAGGGTTAAAATCTAAATACTAAGAAACCTTGCATTTCATATATCTAATTAAGCTCTAAGCAATACATATTAATGTGCTTAAAATACATTTTGATATGTTTATGGTGGGAATTGTCTTCATGGAACATGATCTTGACTTAATTTTGAACAATTCAATGTATTTTTGATTTTATACCCATTCAGCATAAGACTGGGTTAAAAAATGTCAGACATTTACTAAAAATTATATACTTTTTCCTTGAAATTTTTGGTGTACTGTATATATACACTCACCGGCCACTTTATTACCAGTCATGTAATATCGTGTTTTACTCGAACCAGTCTGGTCATTCTCCTCTGACCTCTGGCATCAACAAGACATTTGCGCGCACAGAACTGCTGCTCACTGGATATTTTCTCTTTTTCAGACCATTCTCTGTAAACCATAAAAATGGTTGAGGAAGAAAATCCTTGTAGATCAGCGGTTTCTGAAATGCTCAGATCAGCCCATCTGGCATCAAAAACCATGCCACGTTCAAAGTCACTTAAATCACTTTTCTTCCCCATTCTGATGCTCAGTTTGAACTGCAGCAGATCGTCTTGACCATGTCTACATGCCTAAATGCATTAAGTTGCTGCATTAGCTGATTAGAAATTTGCGTTAGCGAGCAGTTAGACAGTTGTACCTAATAAAGTGACCGGTGAGTGTATACATACAAATATTGAAATTCTGACCTTTTTCCCATACATTTGGATCTACATCTCACAGTTTTATCTCTTTATTTCACAATTCTAAGTACATTAAATGGCAATGAGCAGTTCTTAGAAAAAAAACAAAACACAACAAATGTTAGAATTGCGAAAAAGCATTTAGAAGTGTAAGATAAAGTCATTATTTTCTTGTTTATTTCATGTTGTAAAAACTAATTGTCATTGTTTAGTATGTTTTATCAGGAAAATGAATGTTTTTTTAAATAATAAACTTCACATTTCTCATTTTAAGTCACTTCCATTACATTCTGCTTTTCCTGTTTCTCCCAGGAAATAATCCTCCTAACCAGAAATGGTTACTGTGTGACATCTAAGATAAGTAGGGCAGCATATGTCAAGTTTACAGCCCAGACAATGTTGTCCCTCATAATTTTGCATGTTTTACTTGTGCATTAGAGAGAAGCATGCCAGCGGAGCAAATTACCATGAATTAAATACTATGCAGCAACTGGTGCATGAGGGAGAGCTAAATCAGTTTATGATATGTTATCAAGCACAGCTGAGCATATCGAGCTGACATCGTCGCATGTTGATATTGGTAAAACATTTGGCGAATGGACGTGGCGCAGCGTTTTTGACATCTATTGATATAGTATTGTTTATTTAGGGTTTTATCTTTTGTGCAGTAAAGATGAAGTGTGTGTGAAGTAGCACTGCGTGGTGTTAAGATTGGGGCCATGCCAGAGCTTTTTATTAGTGCATTACAGTAAGAAACCATGTGATCAGAAAGCTTTTGTTGTGCATTTTGAATACGCTCTAAGTTGGACTGTTGCCTTGTATTCATCGGTTCTAAAGTTAAACGTTAGGTTTTTTTTACTATTAAAGCTTTGCAAACAATTACAAATACCTTCAAAATGCACAATTCTTCATTTTAAACACTGACCGAATATGTAAGATCGGCCTAGGATCGTTTTACACAGGGTTTGCGGTTGATTGCAAGGAACAATATGCACCAAGTTCGTCCACACAATGGCTGGAATTAAAATATGAACACAGAGGACGACGTAAAAGGAGTGTGAAAGACTCTATGGTACTCAGCCATTCAATTCGGCCACACAGAATCTAGAAGGTTAAAAGTCTCCCTCTGGCCTTGCAGGGTTGCTGGGAGACAAACAGCAAGGGTCCTGTCAGAGCTGGCATAATTTACCCTGCAATCAAATGCTCATATTAGCACAGCTCTTCAGCGGAGTTAAGGAGAAAACATATGGATATTTATTGTTTTCACTTGTTTCTTTCTTCATTTAGTTTGTTGATTAATTGATCTTACTTGGGTGAAAGTTATGCAGCTGAGCAAATGCACATAATAAAAACTAATACAAGTGATAAAAGCTATTACCATTTAAAATTACTTTAAAATGTACAACAGTTGCTCAGTGATCCTATATTAATAAAGCATTTGTATATGTTGCAGTTATTTCATCTAATTGATGTCAAACTAATCAGATTTAAATTGATCTAAGAAATTACACAAATAAAATTTTACTTGTAAATTTAGAAAATTAGTCATTTGTATTTTTATAGTTTATTCATAAGTAAGTCATTATATAACGGCTGTGTTTTTTCTTTATAATGTCCACTGGAATTAGCATACTGTCATACACATATTTACAGTCTGTTTACTAGGATTAAGATGCAGTTTGGTTACAAATATTACATAACATCATTTGTAATGTTTTGCAAAAGAAAAAATAACATAAAGGACATAAGTGAGTACAGGATGAGAAAATGTTTTATTTTGTTGTTGGTTATTGCTTTATTTGTTATGAAAAAGGAAATTATTTTAATCAAATGAAATGTCTTACATTAAAGGATCACATAAGTTATGAAAAAGCAATGAAATTGTGTTAAAACAATACCATATCAACCTTGATATTCTTATATGTACATTTTTTGTTTTACTTTTTTATGTGTTTCTTTTCCTTCTTTTTACCTTTGAATTTTTTTTTTGCTTTTTTTTTTTTAAATAAATACCTCATAAAATAGAGGCATATTACTTTCAGATCAATAATGTTCTTCCTGCTCTTTACATAATACAGAGTGGACACAAAACATAGGATTGAACTAGGAAAGAGACTAATGGAGCAGGTGGTGGCCCAACACACTCTATGTAGAATCCCTGGTTAAAACCACTAATGAAGACCTCCTTAAAGTTGTTTGAGCCACCAGGAGAAAGGGATTATCCATATTTAGTGTAGCAGTTTAGATTGGCCTCTTTTCAGTCTTGCACCCTTTGTTGAGCGGCCCCTTTGTGCTGTGACTGACAAACTCAATGTTAAGGTCTAGCCTGTTGGCTATGCATAAAAATGTAAAGTGAAAAAATGACGTTCTGAAAAAAAAGACATTTTTCTCTACTTTATTTTGGTGACTTTGATCAATGGAGCAGAAAATCTGTTTTCATAGCCAGAGGGCTGTAAGAAAGACCTATAATAAGAGGCTGAAGCCCAGGCCAAAGTGGAGTGTGAAGCTCAGCTGGGTGTAAGCTTTGCCTCTGTGAAAAGATGCCCAAAAGAGTGGCCTGTCAACCACACAACCACACTTGTCAACTGCACTATACTCTGACCACTTCTGAAGTTTTAACCTGGGTTTAAATACCCCTCAAACCTCTACGAACATATTGACAACAGAATAATTATATATGTACTGCCAAAAATGTTGGGACATTTGTATCTAATCTACAACTATTGACATCCTAATTTTAATCCACAGGGTTTAATATGAAGTTAACCCACCCTTTACAGCTTTAACAGCTTCAGCTCTCCTGGGAAGGATTTTCACAATGTTTTGTAATGTGTTTATTGGGTTTTTTCACTGTTCTTCTAGAAGTGCATTTGTGAGGTGGTGTTCAGTTGGGTCGAGGTCGGGATTCTGTGCAGGCCAGTCAAATTTCCCCACACCAAACTCACTCATCATGTCTTTATGGACTGCCTTGTGCACTGATGCAAAGTCATGGGCCATCCCCAAAATTTTCCCACATATTTGGGAGCATAAAATTGTCCAAAATAATTTGGTATTGGGCGACACGGTGGCTCAGTGGGTAGCACTGTTGCCTCACAGCAAGATGACCACTGGTGCAAGCCCCGGCTGAGTCCATTGGCATTTCTCTGTGGAAGTTGCATGTTTTCCCAATGTTTGCGTGGGTTTCCTCCGGGTCCTCCTGTTTCTCCACAGTCAAAAGACATGTGCTATAGGTGAATTGGAAAAAAATAATTGTCCGTAGTGCATGTGTGTAAATGCAAGAGTGTATGGGTGTTTCCCAGTGCTGGGTTGCGGCTGGAAGGGCATCCGTTCCATAAAAAACATATGCTGGATAAGTCGGCGGTTCTTTCTGCTGTGGTGACCCCTGATTTATAAAGACTAAGCTGAAAAGAAAATGTAGAATAAGTGTTTAATTTGGTATGCTGAAGCATTAAGAGTTCCTTACACTGTAGCTAAGGGGCCAGTACCAGCCCATGAAAAAACAATCTTACACCATAATGCCCCTCTATAAACTTAACACTTGGCATAATGCCAGTAGGCTTATATAGTTTTTTTCTGGCAACCACCAATACTTAGTCAATGGATTGGCATAAAGAAAAGTATGATTTGTCACTCCAGAGAAAATGTTTTCACTTCTCTAGAGTCCAATTGCGGCATGCGTTTGACACTCTGTGCTTGGTGATGTAAGGCTTGGATACAGATTCTCAACCATGAATGGCCACTGCAGAAATGGCCACTTCTGTCCACTATGAGCCTCAGCATGCCCTGACCCCAATCTGTGATGTTACATAGCCACTTGCTTCTGCTTTGTTATAATACCACTAACAGATGATCGTAAAATATTTGGTACTAAGAAAATTACATTACTAAATTGACTTTAATCAATGCACTGGAGCTTCTAACGGCAACCCATTCCGTCAGTGATTCACTCCACAAATAAATACGTCTACATTAATATATGATTTAAAGGTATAATTGAAATATAAAGGGTTGCCTCCTAAAATGTCAGAACCTTTCAATAGTTGCATCATGTCACACACTTTCGGCATTTGTTTGTAATGTAATGTTTTCAATTTTCTTTGCAGATAAAACAGCTAAAGGAGGAAATGGAGAAAGAGATAGTACACATTGAAGCAGCACACATGAAGGAGGTGAGTACGAGCACATGCTCAGATACGGCACAGACTCGACGCGAGTCCTGTCTGTCTCAGGATGTTTGTAGGTCTTGAACTCTTGACCAGAGAATGGTCCCTCCATTATCGCAGACATCAGTGTCCTAAAGCAAAGATGGAGGGTAAGGTGCACACGCAGTGTCTAAGTTGTATCGATTTCAGCCATGAGTCTGATTAAAGATTAACCTGTGCCAACCCTGAAATGCTGTTGATGGCTTTGAGTGATGGATGGCAGCTACTTTTCTTATGTTTAAGTGCAGACCTTTTTTATTGAAACATCTCAAATGAAAAATGTGTATCACATATTTGGACTAACTTAACAAAGGTATTGTCTTGTACATTACCCTTGAAAAGTCTGGAGTCATTTTTTTTTTTTGAAAGAAATGATTACTTTAAATGACTGTTCAAAGTAATGATTAGAATGATAATGATGACAATAAATATTAAATATAAAATTGTTCTAAATATAAATAATAATAAAACTGTAATTATGTAGTTTTATATTAATGTAATATTATACTATAATGTAGTTTCACTTTTAGAATGTTTTTTATTTCCAGCTGGTTAATGATAGGAATAAGTCAGTCAGAAACCATCCTGCTTTAAATTGTATTTTTAAGTATTTAAAGCAACAGGTGACAGAACTGCAGTGGTGCATGCAGAGCATTATTGTGAAGCATGGACACTAACAGATTTATTGTATAAGGCACCAGTTGAATCTGTTAGCATTTTTGTTTTTCACTTAAGCTTTTTCAGTCCATGAAACATGATTGAGGGCAGTTTGAACATAATGAGTTTATCCAGTCTATTACAAGGCAAAGTATCACCAAGTAATGCAAAACTGTTATTTTTAGAGTCAGAAAAGCAAGTTGAACACGTCATTCATTTTATAGATCAAGCATATTTAGTTTCGGCATAAAATACTATAGTACTTTCTATATGTATTCTGAATTTTGTACTAAAGGTTTTTAAAGTGTTTCATAGGGTGGGGCAGTGACACTTTGCATTCACAAAGATGATTATTAATAATTAAATAATTTAAATAAAGAAATTTAATAATTTAGTCTACTATCGTGTTAATGATATTAATTGATTCTTTAGGTTGTATCAAGAACACTGTTGCCAGTTTTGCTGTAAATGGCCAAACTTCTTCAGTGTCTGCCATTTTAAATTTTTCTTTGGAAACTAAGCGAGGCAGTGGCGCAGTAGGTAGTGCTGGCTTACAGCCTTACAGCAAGAAGGTCGTTGGGTCGCTGGTTCGAACCTCGGCTCAGTTGGCGTTTCTGTGTAGAGTTTGCATGTTCTCCCTGCCTCCGGGTGCTCCGGTTTTCCCCACAGTCCAAAGATATGTGGTACAGGTGAATTGGGTTGGCTAAATTGTCCGTAGTGTATGAGTGTGTGTGTGAATGTGTGTGTGGATGTTTTCCAGAGATGGGTTGCGGCTGGAAGGGCATCCACTGCGTAAAAACTTGCTGGATAAGTTGCCGGTTCATTCCGCTGTGGCGACCCCGGATTAATAAAGGGACTAAGCCGACAAGAAAATGGATGAAACTAACTTTTAGATTTGTGAAATTTTCACCAAATCCAGTCATAAAACTGAGTTGATAAAATGTAATAATTTTTATGATTTTAATTAACTGGACATGCTTTTTGATTACAAAAAGATAATCTAACTGCAAACAAATGGGGAAAAAGCACAATCAAATAATAAAAGATAAAAAGAGTTAAAAGAATTAAAAAGAATAACTGATTTTGAGAAAAGCTCAAAAAGTTTTTGAAACTGTGTCAGTCCAGTTTTCAGAGTTGAAGTTGTTTAGTTTATGTCAATTTAGTTCAAATTGCATTGCTAAAAGTCCAAACAGATGACAGGGAAAGTAATTCATAAAGTTACTTTAAATTAATTTAAAGCTCTCAAAAAAAGGCTCACATTTTTCACATTATATGTTGAAGCATGACTGATTTCAGCACTGATAACATTAGGAACTGACCACCAAGTTAGAAAGATTCCTGAAACAATAGTGTGGCTGACCCTTTATAAGAATGACCATAGCATCATGGCTTTTTGCAAACCCTTTTAACTGGACTTATTCATGGCTTGTTAAAGCTCTTTTGGGGGGTAGTTGGATGCGGACGATGACTCTGTCAACAAGTGTACCGTATAGAGGTGGTGGAGGAGGCGTCCGGTCTGAATCCTGGCCTCAGAGGCTGGAATGTGGCATGCAGCTGACACAACACACTGACAGGCTGGAGTGGGTGATGGGGTACAGATGAATAGAAGAGGACAATAAGCCCGGTTTAAAGTCCACTTCATAAAGGGCACTCTTACAATGAGCTTGGACACTGTAGTGGCTAGTTATTATGGAAATGTGGAACTCTTATCTGTTTTTTTTTTTTTTTTATAATGCTCAAGCCTCAGTGTTAACTGGCACGTGTCTGGCCCTGTATAGACAGTGACTCAGACATAGATAAAATGCGCAAACAGTTTGATTTATGTAGCTTCGCAAACAATAATTGATAACGTCTCACTCAAATATAAAAGTCAGGATACTACTTTTATTCAGTGAGGAATATTATATGTTTAAAATTAGGTATGTACTACTGGTCAAAAGTATGGGGTCAGTAGGATTTTTAAAAGTTTCAAAATAAGCTTCTCTGCTCACCAATGCTGCATTCATTGCACGATAAAATACCTGTTCAAAAGTAGTTTATCATTTAACTTCTAATTCTAGGCATTTTAAAGATAAATTTTCAGCTTCATTACTCATGAGTCACAGGATCCTTTAGAAATCACTCTAATATTCATTATTATTATTATTATTATTATTATTATTATTAATTATAACAGTAATAAAAGCAATAATGACAGGAGTAATAATTTCATTTGAAACTCCATACAATAAAAAATAAGTTATTTAAAATTGTAATACATATTTAACAGTTCAACAAATTTTTTACATTTAAGAAATGCCGCCTTAATGAACAGAATAATTGTCTTTAAAAAAAAACACGAAAATAAGACTGACCCCAAATTTTTGACTGGTAGTGTTACTTTTTGAGTTAAAATAACTTAATGAAAATCACAGTAAATTCCATCCATACATATATTTTCAGCTATATAATTGAACATGACATATATTAATTTTGTAACATGTCGAAACTTTGTATTCAGGTTTTAGTCCTAAATTTGGGAAAAGTCATAAAAATAAATGTAAATAAATGAATGAAAAAAAATGAAAATGCACTCACTGTTTACTCACTATCAAGTAGTTTCAAACCTTTAACAGTTTCTTTCTTCTGTTGCACACAAAAGCAGCTTTCTTTGTCTTTTGTGTTTAAACATACATAGAAATATACATGCTTGAAACAAGTGAAGGGTGAGTAAATTATGATATAATTTTTATTTTTGTGTGAGCTTTCCATTCAAGTAATATTTCTGTCAACTCAAAAAACAAAATAAAGCGCTACAAAAATAATCCAACTCTCAAAGAATCCACAAATAAATTACAAAAATGCACAAAATTACAACTATTTTCTAACATTGTTAATGTTAAAACATGATTGATGAGACTTAAAATTAGCATATCAAAATGATTCTGGAGGATCATGTACACTAAACAGACTGCTAAAAAATCTGCTTTGCCATCCCAGGAATAAATTGCATTTGAAAATGTATTAAAGTTGGAAATGCTTTATAATAATATTTCAGAATATTACACTTACTGCATTTTGATCATAAATGCAAATGTAAAACATTTTAAAAATCTTGACCAACTTCAGCATTTTGAGAAAAAAAAAAATCTATTTGTTCATAATGTGCTTTTCTCAGACCCAAATCGCTTACAAAACAGTAAAAACAACAAAGCACAATAAAACAATAAATAAATAGTGAGAATAAAAAAAGATATTACAAATTAAAAACAGTTCTAATAAGATGAGTTTTAAGTAGCTTCTTAAACCAGTCCAGGGAACCAGCATTCCTAAATTTGTGGGAAGAGCATTCCATAGTTTGAGTGCATGGTAAGAGAATGGCCTACCTGCCATGTTGCTGAGTTTATACCTGTATATATGCAATGTACCAAAACTTCCAAAACTGTAAATTTGTGTCAGACAGTAAGTGAAAGTGTAACACACCTTCATTATTGTCTGTTCTCAGTGTAAAGCACCACACTAAGACTTACTCAACTCACCATCATCCTGTCACAAATCAACACCTACTCCTTTTTTTTTGCACACAATGGCTTTTTGAACAAACCGGCAAGGAAACTTTCTTTCTCCCATTCTTTTTTTTCTTTGGTCATGATGAAAGAAAAAGGGTGGACTGACATCCTCTCTGTGTTGGGTTAGACTAACAACACACTCGGCACCCACTCTTACTAACAGAGACTTAAAAAGGGACTCCCACGTTCTGTTAGGCCTTTTTGGGGGAACACGGGTGGAAAAGTGGATGTCCGAGCTGACCTGAGGCGACCTGACCTTCACACTGCTCTGAACGTACGCACTCAATCAGCCAACATGACATTCCTCAAAGCTGTGTCAGGCCTTGATTGGACATGCTGCACAAAGTGGACATTTGGTGGTAAAATGACCCTTTGTGAGCCACCGATTGATATAATGACTCTCAGAATATGGCCCTCCATTTAAATCTCCATTGGGGTAAAAAAAACAGATAAAGCTTCAAAGCCATTGCTTTTCTTCTCAACTGAGGTGGACACGCACATGAAATGTGGTGCTGGATTTAATGGGTAGTTTTCCCCAAAATTAACATTCCGTCAACATTCATACTCTTTATCCTGCTTTAAAAGAGCCATCCTGTGTGAAGCGTGAAATCATGCTTTTTTAGAACTTTCAAATTTACACAAAATCGGGTCCATTGAATGTCCAAAAAGTTACATTTTGGAATTAATGATTTTGTGAAGATTCATCTGCTCTGAACTGAATATTCTTGGTGACACTTTACAAAAAGGTTCCTTGTTAATAAACACACAGTGTTGTGTTTGTTTTTATGATTGTGTTTATTTATGTAGCACTGTGGTCCTGTGAGGCCAACATTTCATTTCACTTTGTTCACACATGTAGCAAAATGACTATAAAGTCTTGACTTGACAATGTATTCACTGACATAAACAAACAATGAACATTAGATTTATTAAACTTTTATTAATGCTAGTTGATGAAAATACATTTATTGTTAGTTTTTGTTTACTCGCAGTACATTCATTTTAACAAGCACAACGTTAGATTTTATTAATTCAATCATTTTCCTTTGGCTTAGTTTCTATTTCTGCCACAATGGAAGGAACCACCAACTATTCCAGAATTTGTTTAACGCAGCGATTCCCTTATAGCGTAATCCAGTATTGGGAAACACCATACACAAATTTTCACACATTCACACACACTGTTGTACACTACTGACAATTTTCATTCAGTTATTTTCCTTCAGCCTAGTCCCTTTATTCATCTGGGTTCCCCACAGTGGAATGAACTGTCAACTTATCCAGCATATGTTTTACATAGCAGATGCCCTTTCAGCTGCAACCCAGTACTGGTACACTCAAACACTACTGCCAATTTAGTTTATTCTTCTCACATGTCTTTGGATTGTGGAGGAAAACGGAGCATGAACATGGGGAGAACATTCAAACTCCACACAGAAATGCCAACTAGCTCAGCCGGGACTCAAACCAACGGCTTTCTTGCTGTGAGGCGACAGTGCTTACCACTGAGTCATTGTGCCGTCCCATTAGATTTTAGTAATACATCAATAAATGCTGAACTTTGATTATAAATCCTGCACAAGTATTGCTTATTCTTAGTTTATGTTAGTAAATAAATTAGCTAACGTTAATAAACAAAGCCTTATCGTAAAGCGTGACCACATTCATTGACAAAAAGTTGTTTAGAAAAATATTATGAAACTATAAAAGAAAAAAGGTAAACCTTTACAATAAGGTTCATTAGTTAATGCATTTGCTAACATGAACTGATCATGAACAACACTTGTACAGCATTTATTAATCATAATTGAAGATTTACTAATGCATTATTAACATTCAAGTCCATGCTTGTTAACATTAGTTAATGCACCATGAGTTAACATGAACTAACAAAAAACTACTGTATTTTTATTAACTAACGTTTATTAGCATGAATATATACTGTAATAAATGTATTGTTCAATGTTTGTTCATGTTAATTAATGCATTACTTAACATTAACTAATGAACCTTATTGTAAAGTGTGACCAGAAAAAAATTGTAAAAACAGAAAACACTGACACATTTCTCAAAATATATTGTTTGTGCATGTTTCATGGAAGGGTACTTGTTATCAATCGAAGGCGGTTAGAGATTATGCCACCTCTATGTTCACATTGACATTGTTAGAGTCTGTTGGGATAAATTTAATTTCATTGATGATCCTAAACATGTTGTTTACATCCATCCTTCTGATATAATGGAGATGAAGAGTAAATTAATTTTATACCTGTTTATTATACCTCTACTTATAGCTGTATTCGTCCATCAGTAAAAATGCAAACCTTCCCTCTAATAAAATAAAGCATCTAGGCATGAATGTCCAAAACTAGGACAAGTGGAACAACCTTGTCCTGCACAACGGAGACGTTCAGTTTGAGTTTTTAATCTGATTTAGTGTACATGTCATATTATACAAAGCAAAAGGTTTAAAGCACATTTTATTTGTACTCCTGACATACAAATACTAAAGTAAAGCATCATTATAATTTTAGGATGTGTTTGTGGGATGTGTTTCTCTTCTTATAAGAAAGCTGCCACTGAAAAGAAGCTTGAGAAGCTGAAGAAGGCGGAACTTACAACCATGGAGGTAGTCTTCAATTTGCTAAAATAAAATCGTACATCTATGAATAAACTTGAAGGAATTTCTGTTTTTCTTTCAGCTTGTTGGGGATACAGAGCTGGCTCTTAAAATAAGAGAATTTAAAAAGGCTGAATCATTGCAGAAAAAGGAGATTGAAAGGTATTTAAAAAAACTTAAAGGAAAAAATTAAGACACTGCAGGTGAATAGGGTAAAAATATATAGCTATCATCATACTTCACAAGTCAATTGATTGCATTAAGGGTTGCAAATATATATTGTAACTATGATCAAGTATTACAAATACAATGTATGATATGTGCTTGCATTTCTAGTACAAAAAGGATGAAAATTGTCAGCTTGAAAATTCTTGATACATTTTTAGTACAGTCAAAGGATCAACAGAGGACATTTTGGGTACCTGTTTTGATCACTCACTTTTACTAGAATAAAATTATGTATTTAATAAGATAGATTGTGTGTGAATATATTCTTCAGTTTATATTTTATTCTTTTTATAATAATACTAATTTACTAATGATTTGTTGTTGTTGTTATTTTTTCAATTAAATTTAAACCTGTTTTAATATTTCTTTTTAAAATAAGTTTAATTATTGTTTTTTCTATTTCTTATATTTATTTTGTGATTATTGTATGATTCTTTTAATCCCATTGTTGATTTAAAGTACTTTGAATTATCATTGTGTACGAAATGTGCTAAATAAATAAACTTACCAGGAAATTTTCAGTATTCACATTTAAATAAAACTTTAACGTTTGGTGTATTTAAGTGCTGCTGGAGTGAATATTAAAGGGCACCTACTTTATCCCTTTTTGAGATCTAAGATAAGTCTTTTGTGTTTCCAAAATGTGTCTGTAAAGTTTCAGCTCAAAACACCCATTAGATTATTTAATATACCTTTCAGAAGTTTGGAACTTTCTGCTCTGAACACAATGTAGCGGTTTTTGTTGCCTGTGCCTTTACTGCTAGCTCTCCCCACCCACGGTTCCCACATGCCCACATGTCAGAGTGTGCCTTAATCTGTACCTCAGCTGCCTCAGATAAACAGCACAGTGACAGACATGAAGGAAGCAGATCTCATGTAACCTTTGTGAGAAATACTACAGTAAGAACTTTACCAATGATTTTTTGATGTATTTGTTGTGGAGTTAATTTAAGCCCTTTCGATGAGTCACACACAATGTCGTTACAAAGTTCACGCACACACACAGACACAAAGACACACACACACACACAGCACGTGCGTTTAACTTTGCACTGCAAATGTGACAGGATACAGATTAATATCCACTACTGTATGGATATCTCTTATGTTAATTTACAAAATAAACCTGATTTAACGTCCACAAACTGGTATTAAAGCGCCCTTTTAAAACTTTACTGACACGCGGCTGTGGTGATGGTAAAATCGCTATAATTCATTACAAACATGCACTGTTATAAAAATGTTTTAAACTTGTAAAACTTACTCTTGATCACATTTGTTGCGGATTGATGATCACAGAGAGCTGAACAGATCTTTTAATCCTGGTTGCTTTGTGCACGTCCTGTCTTGTTGATGTGATTGCACACGCTACTAAGGAGGCATGTTAATATGCAGCTGTCGATCAATTCGATGGGCAGGGAAACCGCACTCCTATGTTATGTTGAGGTGGGCCTTAAACCGGGGAGGAATTGCATCCTATTTACTATTTTAATGTCAGGAATTTTTTAAAAAGAGACTTACTGTGTTTCTATCACCTTAATATGACTGTAGACACATTATACCTACACACAGTTCTGTCCAAACAGCTTCCAAAAATGATTTTCATCATAGATGTCCATTGTAATTAGAATCTACAGGCATAAAAAAAAAATAAAAATCAAATGTGACAAAAAAAGTGTGTTTTGTATGTTTTCTTTACATTAGAATAGAACAAAACATCTTATTAAAAGCCAAAAGGCATAGAAAATGGACAAGTGCATTAAAAAACAAAACATTTCTCTGCAGTGTCTTGCTGTAAAACAGAATAATCCCTCAGTACATGTGTGTTTCACTTCTTCATTCTAATTGTTTCTTTATTTTATCAGGCTCAATAAGCAGTTGTGCATGTCCAATCAGGTGTGGGAGAAGAAATTTGAGATTTTAACACAAAAGTACTGTATACAACACACACTTTTATTGCTCTAAATGTTTCATTATATGCTCAAAGAAGTCTTCTATCTTGATTTTTTTTCTTCTTCAAGTTTTCATGCCATCAAGGACGAGATGTTTTTAAGGCAGAGACTGCAGCGTCAGGAAGCCATTCTGCACAATGCTTCAGTCAGCTTAATGGTCAGTGGCACCTCCAACAACGCTTCAGTTTTGTTCACTTTTAACATACACTGTCTGCCATGATATTTACTCCAGACATGTTGTTTTCATCATCAAAGCCACTCTAAAAGGGTGGACAGGAGCTTTAATCATGTAACCCTTAATGAAATGTGCACCTGTGCCCTGTCCCACACACACACATACAGCACATATACAGTAGAGTTTATACAGCACAGACTTTAACAGGTGCACGCCCATTAAACCCCTCATCTCTGGCCTCAATTGCTGAAGGCTAATGAATATGCATAAGTTTTGTTTTTGTTTTGCTCTGCACCCCACACCCCCTTTTAGAAGACTCGGTTCACCTCGTTGAGGCCTGTCTGTGCTGGATGCCATTTATTGCACAGAATACAAAGATGACAATGTCTTAATGTGCACACTTTTTGAAATTCTGGTCACACTTTATTTTAATGTGCAGTTTACGCTATTAACAAACCATTAACTAAGGCCGTTAACCTAATAAAATATGATTTAGCTGTTTATTAATTGTTAGTAAGGTAGTAGCTGGGTTCAGGGATGTAGAATTCTTTGAGTACTAAAAATGTTAATGTCTTAATAATAAGCAGGTAATAAGCTGGTAGTTAATATTGTGAATTGTGACTACCTAAAGTGTTACTGAAATTATTTGTTATTTTTGTAGTATGTAGATTTCTGTTTAAAAGGTCAGTAAGACTTTTTATTGCTCTTGAAAGTAGTTTCATCTAATTTACCGAGGCTTTATTTAATCACAATTGCTGTAAAAATACAGTTTTCATATATTTAAATTGTAGTTGAATCATGTGATGTCAAGCCAAATTTTCAGCACTCATTATTTCAGTGCATTGATGTTATGTAATCCTAACAGGGTTTCTGTGGGATCTGAATAAGTCTTAAAATGTCTTAAATCCCAAAATCTAAATTTTAGGCCTTAAAAAGTCTTAAATGTAATTAAATATTTTGTTGTTGGTCATCTAATTTTTTTTAAACAAGTCTTAATTAGGCTGGCTTGTCAAAGCCAGACTACTGAAATGCTATTTAAACTTATTATTAAATTTTTTATTATTCTTCTGAGACTAAATTTCTGACTCTATCTCCTCCTAGAGCTTTTGAGCTATTACCACCAAACTCGCTCCAGACCTCCAAACTATTCTGACTCGTGTTGCTATATCTCCTCAGACTGATCCGACTTTCGGTTTTCCGAAAAACGTCCCGGGACTGTCGGAAAAATCCCATAGGCTTAACATTGGATCAAACTTTGTGAGCTCATAACTCTGCGTCAGACTGTCACACAGACTTCTAACTGGGCTCATTTAACTCAGACTATCAAACTGCCAATGACTGATCACCTTTAAACTTTCTAGCCACGCCCTGGCAACCACTTTTTGACCCTAGTAACTGTCCCATAGACTTCTATTCAAAAGACTCTCATTGACTTAACATGGGATCAAACTTTATGAGCTCATAACTCTGCATCAGACTGTCCTACAGACTAATGGCTGAGCTCATTTAACTCAGACTACCAAACTGCCAATAACTGATGAGCTTTTAACTTTCTAGCCACACCCCTAACTACCACATACTGCACCCTAGCAACTGTCCCGTAGACTGCCATTACAAAAGACTCTCATTGACTTAACATGGGATCAAACTTTGTGAGCTCATAACTCTGCATCAGACTGTCATAGAGACTAATGGCTGAGCTCATTTAACTCAGTCTAGCCAGCAGCCAATCACTGATGGCCTTTTAACTTTCTAGCCACACCCCTAACTACCACATACTGCACCCTAGCAACTGTCCTATAGACTGTAATTAGCTGTGCTATTAAATGCTTATAATTCTAACATGCTAATGACATGCCAATCATGCTAGCAACATGCTACTCATATGCTAATCATGCTAATGACATGCTAACTCATACTGGAAACATGCTAATGACATGCTAATTTGTACTAGAATCATGCTAGTAACATGCTAATTCATACTAGACTCACGTTAATAACTGGCCTACATGCATATCTTTGCTTAGCAGTGTCCTATTGACTTGAGGGATGGCTCATCTGACTCAGACAACCAATGAGCATCTCAACATGATAATGAAGCTCACAAGCCACGCCCCCAAATTGATTCCATAGACTTCCATTAAAATAGGTCAAGATGCATATCTTTGCATAGCAGTGTCATAGAGACATGGGAGTTGGTTCATTTGACTTAGACAGCCAACCACATTCAAGTTCACTCTGTAACCTCGCCCATAGCAACAAAACAGAGTACCCTAACAACCATTCATCAACAGCTATATCCCAGCATCGGAACATCGTAGAGACTTGGAGATTGGCTCGTTTGACTCATGCTAGCAAACGGAACTTCCTATATGCTACACATGCTAGCAGTGATTAGCTACATGCTAATATTGACTAGCCAAGTACTGTAACTTGCTAGAAATGCTTACTAAGTATAAATGTTTTATCAAGTATGTATGTGGGGCTTGCCTAGTGACCACCCAGGGTACCCTAGCAACTGCCTAGCAACCACCCAAATTACCCTAGCAACTGCCTAGCAACCACCTAGCAACGGCCTAGTAATGCCTTAGTAAGGGCCTAGCGACCAATTAGGACACCCTAGCAACCGCCTAGCAACACCTTAGCAACCACTCAGAATACCCTAGCAACCACCTAGCAACACCTTAGCAACCACCTAGCAACCACTTGGGACACCTTAGCAACCGCCTAGCAACACCTTAGAAACCACTCAGAACACCCTAGCAACTGCCTAGCAACGCCTTAGCAACCACTCAGGACACCCTAGCAACCACCTAGCAACACCTTAGGAACCACCTAGCAACCACTTGGGATACCTTAGCAACCACCTAGCAACCAGTCAGAACACCCTAGCAACGCCTTAGCAACCACCTAGCAACCACTCAGGACACCCTAGCAACCACCTAGCAACACCTTAGCAACCACCTAGCAACCACTCAGGACACCCTAGCAACCGCCTAGCAACGCCTTAGCAACCACTCAGAATACCCTAGCAACCACCTAGCAACACTTAGCAACCGCCTAGCAACCACTTAGGACTCCTTAGCAACCACCTAGCAACACCTTAGCAACCACCTACCAACCACTCTGAACACCCTAGCAACCACCTAGCAACACCTTAGCAACAACCTAGCAACCACTTAGAACACCCTAGCAACCGCCTAGCAACACCTTAGCAACCACCTAGCAACCACTCACGACACCATAGTAACCACCTAGCAACACCTTAGCAACCACCTAGCATCCATTCAGCACACCCTAGCAACCACCTAGCAACATCTTAGCAACCACACAGAACACCCTAGCAACCGCCTAGCAAGACCTTAGCAACCACCTAGCAACCAATCAGAGCACCCTAGCAACTGCCTAGCAACAACCTAGCAACCACTCAGAACACCCTAGCAACCGCCTAGCAATGCCTTAGCAACCACCTGGCAACCACTCAGAACACCATAGCAACCACCTAGCAACACCCTAGCAACCGCCTAGCAACATCTTAGCAACCACATAGCAACCACTCAGGACACCCTAGCAACTGCCTAGCAACGACTTAGCAACCACTCAGAATACCCTAGCAACCACCTAAGCATGCTATGTGACATGCTAATTCATACTAGAATCATGTTAGTAACATGCTAATTCACACTACAATCATGCTAATAACATGCTAATTCATACTAGAATCATGCTAATAACATGCTAATTCATACTAGAATCATGCTAGTAACATGCTAATGCATGCTAGAATCATGCTAATAACATGCTAATTCATGCTAGAATCATGCTAGTAACATGCTAATTTATACTATAATCATGCTAATAACATGCTAATTCATGCTAGAATCATGCGAGTAACATGCTAACTCATGCTAGAATCATTCTAGTAACATGCTAATTCATACTAGAATCATGCTAATTCATTCTAGAATCATGCTAATAACCTGCTAATTCATACCAGAATCATGCTAGTAACAGGCTTATTCATACTAGAATCATGCTAGTAACATGCTAATGCATGCTAGAATCATGCTAGTAACGTGCTAATTCATGCTAGAATCATACTAGTAACATGCTAATTCATGCTAGAATCATGCTAGTAACATGCTAATTCATACTAGAATCATGCTAGTAGCATGCTAATTCATACTAGAATCATGCTAGTGACATGCTAATTTATTCTAGAATCATGCTAGTAACATGCTAATTCATGCTAGAAGCATGCTAATAACATGCTAATTTATACTAGAATCATGCTAATAAAATGCTAATTTGTACTACACTCATGCTAATAACATGCTAATCCATGCTAAAATCATGCTAATTCATGCTAGAATCATGCTAATAACATGCTACTTATACTTTTTCAAACTGTTTTTAAACTAAATAAACTATTACCAACAGGCTTTGTCAAGCCAGCCTCAAAGTTTGTCTCGACAAACTTTACTGTCTAGTTTTCCTTTGTTGTTAATGTATAGCTAACTAATCTGGCCAAAACTTTTAAACGTTTTATAACTTTTAAAATATTTGTTCATTTTTTTAATTTAAAAGAAAGTTTATGTGGGAAAAAAGGTGTATGGATACAAGTAGAGCTCGCTTGTTTTTACACAATATTAAAAATATTTTGCTAAGAAATATCTAAAATATATATTTACTATTATTATTAATTTATTATTGTATTATGAAATGTATTACATTGAACTTTTTTTGATAGGGCAAATAATCTTTTTCATCTGGGCCATTTAAAAAGTTCCTTAGTCTTTAGCCTTTTATGAGTCCAAAATTTCATTAATAATGGTGTTAAATATGTCTTAAAAGGTCTTAAATTTAACTTGGTGAAACCTGCAGAAACCCTGCTTACTGAAAAAATTCTAATATGCTGATTTGATTATTCTTGTTGAAAATTATTATTATTTTTTTTTTTTTTTACAGTTGTTATTACGTTAGTTTCCTGTATCTATGCTAAATTTAAAAAATACATAAAACTTAATTTGTATTAAAGGTTTATTGGCATTGGTCATTAAATGTTGATTATTGAAGAACAGCTGATGATCAGAGCCAATTAAATCATGTAAATCAAAAGAGGATTGAAAAACAAGGATGTAAAAGTAAATTTAAACTGGGAGACAGTGACAAAACTTGTCTGAGGGGTCTGTTCAGGTATATTTTACTATGTAAAAATAATTTGATTAGGCTGACATAGCAAGTGGATTTCAGTAAATGTAAATATGGGATTAAACCTCAGCAAATGTAAATATGAGTTAATAACACAAAGCCCCAGTGGGCCAAAGTGTTGGAGATAGGCAATCATTAAAGCTGAACATGTCATTTTCAAAAGAAAAAAAGTCAAACAAGTTTGAAGGGTGAGTAAATGATCACATATTTGAACTTTTTGGGGTGAACTATCTCTTTAAGGGATTCCCAGCAGGTACCTTAATGTCATCAAAAACACGTTAAAGATGAAAATCGATTTGTTGTCAAATTGACATTCACACATTGATCCCCCCTTGACCACCAATGTAATGATGCAAAAAATATAAAAATAGAAAAAGAAAAGTTTTATTCATCTGAAAGCTTCAATTCCAAATTTACATTTAATTTTCTATTCCAATTTAATAACATCGAATTGACATCTTGCAATTGTGTCAAAAACACATCAAAAATTGATTACAGGACAATCCTGTAATGATTATAACCTCTTATTGAAGTCTTTTGTTTTTTCTCTTGCAGATGGATGCTCCATGCTCGCCACTGAAGAGTCCTGCAGATGGTGCTTTTAAAAGTCTGAGATACAGCACGGTGGCTCCTCTGGTAAACAAGCTTACTGTTCAAACTATTCTGCTTTTGGTGTGATGGACATTCCAGCTTACATATCCCTCTGCTGTAAAGCCACGTATAGGTGCTAGACACCAACACAAGAGGAACCACAGTACACAGAGGGAAAGAAGGGCAGATGTTCTCCCTGGCTTAGGTTAGTGCATTTTCACCTGAAACAGATAACATTGACAAAATGAATGAAAGAGTAAGATTAACTAGGTTAATTGTGGTATCGCATTAAAGGAACACTATAGATCTTTTTGAAATATGCACATTTTACGATTCCCCTATTTAATCAGTTAAGTTTTACCATTTTTGAATCCATTTAGCCTCTTAGCTTAGCTTAGCATAAATCATTGAATCAGATTAGACCATTAGCATCTCGCTCAAAAATCAATCAACAATCAAGAATTTTGATAATTTTCCAATTTAAAGCTTGAGTTTTCTGTAGTTACATCTTGCACTAAGACTGACAGAAAATTAAATGTTGCTTTTATCTAGGCTGCTATAGGTAGGAACTATACTCTTATTCTGGTGCAATAATCAAGGAACTTTGCTGCCGCACCATGCTGCTGCAGGTGAGACAGTATTATGCAGCACCCGAAAATAGTCCCCAGCACCAAGCCCTACAATTGCACCATCAGTTACAATTTGCATAACATCATTGCACTTGCTGCAGCCTTGGTATGGCAGAAAAGTTCCTGTTATTACATTGGAACAAGAGTGTAGTTACTAGCCATAATGTCCTATAAAATAGCAACTTTTCATTTTCTGTAGGTCTATGATGTACCTACAGACGAGTTAAGTTTAAATAACACAATTATCAAAACTCTTTTTTGAAATTTTTGAGTTAGATGCTAATGGTCTAATCAGATTCAATTATTTATGCTAAGCTAAGCTAAAAGTGCTTCCGTCAGACCCGGAGATCAGCTGAATAAATTCAAAAATAGTAAAACTGAACTGTTTAACTTTAGGGGAGTAGTAAAATATGCCTATTTTCAAATAAAGTGTGTCAATGTTCCTTTAACACGTCTAAAAAGTTCCACTTAAAGTTTATGGAGTGTTTAAAGATATTGATTTGACTCTGAAAGGCTGCCTTGTGCGCTATTATCATATTAGCAGTGTCACATGAGGAGCAAGAATGAGAAATGATGGAGAGAGTCGTCTTGCCTCAGCTACTTTTTAATCTCTCTTTTGCCTATTATTGACTTTCTGATGATTGGGATCTGGGTTAATGAGCTTAGCAGGCATGACTTGGCTAGATAACAGACAGACTTAATACCCTCTGTCAATATGGAAGCTCTCAGACACAAATATCTGATGCACAGAAGCGAACTAATCAATCTGGCCAGATTACACCTGTGTGTGGACCCACAGAAATGCATCATTGCTTTCGTATCAGTTATTTTATTACATTTGTTGTGATTTTTTTCTTGTATTTATACACTTTGAATGAATGTGATATTGTAATGTATTCATGCACTTATGCGCTTGAAAGTTAGATTTAATGTTTAAAATTATTTAGTTATTTCAATCTGTCGTGGATAGTAGATTGAAGTAGATTGGGTGTGATATTGTAACACACTGTAAATACACTTATATATAAACTATATCTAATAGTTTAGATTATTTTTAATTTTAATTATATTTACAATTTCATGTTTGGGCAAGAATTCACACTTGCATTTTGCAAAGATGCGTTGAATTAACCAAACGTGACAATTTATATATATATATATATATATATATATATATATATATATATATATATATATATATATATATATATATATATATATATATATATATATAAGTTAGTTTCACTTAAACAAATCCATTTTTCACAAATATATTATTATAGATTGTTTTCAGAATTGAAAATATAAAAAAAAATTCTTGAGTTGCTGAAAATTCTTTGCCATCACAGGATTTTAAAATAGAATATTTTTTTGTAATATATTTATTATAATTTTCATCAATGTAAATATTAAACAAATCTTACAGATTTAAAATGGAATATGTATTAATAATAACATAATAATGGTTTTATTATTGTATACATAAATAAATCATTAATTATTCATTTATACATTTATTTATTCTCTTTTCGGCTTAGTCTCTTTTTTCATTAGGGGATGCCACAGCGTAAAGAACCGCAAACTTATCCAGCATATATTTTACGCAGCGGATGCCCTTCCTGCTGCAACCCAGTACTGGGAAACACCTATACACTCTTATTCATACAAGTACACTACAAACAATTTAGCTTACCCAATTCAACTATAGCACGTCTATGGACTTGAGAGGAAACTACCCACTCCGCCACCACAGCGCCTCATCAATAATGAAATAAATAATAATTTAATATAAAATATACAATTTTTTCATTTTATTATAAAATATTATATATATTATATGTAGACAGTATGTCTAAGTAGACGCATCATGTCTTACACCCTCTGTATACGAGAGCCCACTGTAAAAAACTGTGTACAAGCGTCTTGGTTTGTGGATAGAAATGTCTACAGCCACTGCCACTCTAGTAGTTTATAGTGGGTCACTGGTGCTCTGTCCAGAGGGCCTGGCCAGTGACCTCTACAACTGCTGGCTGGCCCTTAACTAAACCACAGGAATCTGTTCCATACATCACCACTGACACCCAATAATTGAGACACTGGAGATAAGGCTCTGGCTACTGAGGGTCTTGACACTTAGAAAGAGTTGGCAAACATTGTTGTCACACAGCAGATTATGTTTATTCAGTGTGTCACCAAACTAAGATGGTGTGAATAATTTCAAGCCTTTATGGCAAACCACATTTACAAGCTTGTATTTGGACGTCTGAGCCAAGCTAAGGCTGCCCTGTCTGTTTGTCTGTTAGCCGAGCTTCGTTTATATGATTAATTAGATTTGATGACATAATGTTTGATAAGGAAAAATTCACAATTTAAAAATAAAAATCATATGCTGTTCACTATAATGATGAAGGTGTACTTCTAGAAAACATTCTAGATATAAACGAATAGCAGATTGCACTTAGCATAGAAATTATATAATCAAAATCATATTCCATATTAAGAGCCAATCAGAATCCATTCTGCTTTAATAAGCACAAATATTTAAAGCACAAAATGCTAGTGCATGCTTTTAATTAAAGAAAATAAAAAACATTGTGGTGCATACATTAATAAAGTTAGTGTTGTAGTTAAGTTTTTGTTATTGGTGTGAACAGGCCTTAAGTAGCTATTAAACCTTTTAACCAATTAACAATAACACTGTGTTTTTATGAGCATTGTAGTTTACCTCTAAGATCGCTTGAGATCTTAAATGTAAGTTGATTGAGGCTTTGCTAATTGTCAAGGTTTTATTGCTGTTAAAAAAAAAAATGTATTGTCAGTAATCTTTGGAAAACAGTTGGGCAGATAATTGAATTAGGTTTTGTTCGCTCTTGCACAATAAACCGAAAACTCTGGTAATAAAGAAAACTGTTGCTTCATCCTTCTTAGTTTCATTTTTAGTTCTCATCAAAGACGCCTCTGTTACAATAACTTAAAACAGCTGAAGTGGAGCAAACTATTACAAACAAACTTCGAAAGATTAATAAATGTAAACACATTTTATGATCATATAATCTAAGCATATTAACTCTATGGATAAATTATACATTTTAAAATAAGTTCCTACAACATTAATAGTAATTTAAATATCATTTTTTATTTGTGGCATTATAATGACATATAAATTGCATGTTTGATTTGTTTAAAAGTATTTTTTATTATATTATACATAAACTTTATATATACAACTTTATTATAGTTATTTTCGTTGGTGTGAAAGCAGCATGTAAAAAAAAAAGACTGAAATGTTCCCTTTTTAATATGGCAAGCGCATGGCTTCAAAGTTATTCGGCAAATGATCAAAAGAAGAGGGGACAAGACTGCTCGGACACAACCATAATAAATTTAGTTTTTCTTTTTCCCCTTTTTGTTCATGAATACGTCTGGCCCATATGCTTTTTCTGCAGATCTATTTGAAAGAGGCATTTACAAACCCAGGCCCACCACATTAAACTCTATAACAATCTTCATTCATGGTAACTTATCAGACTCAATTAATCAACCTCAACAATGGCAAATCTGATGTGTTCAAGCAACCCGAAAGGCCTAGGTCAACACTAGGGCAGTCCCAAGCTTGCCTTTTTTTCTGCACTTAAAAATTCATGTTTTTATGATTGACATTTTTTTTTACCTTATATTTAGACTAAACGTTAAAAGAAGTTAAGAAATAGACATATTTAAAGAAAACAACATTCAAAACGAGCTTTCTGTTTTTCTTTTCTTTCTTTCTCTAAAAGGCTACAAAGCCTCTCCGTTGATAAAAAGCCTCTCAGTCAGTCTCAAAGGAGCATGTCTTCTCTGCTGCAATGTGAATGGTATTGTTATGGCTATTCCAGTGGGCTGAAAAGGGGTAACCACTGGTTTGATTCGGTTACACGGTGTGGTTAAGTTCTCCCTCCCACCGCCTTGGTGTCTATGGAGGGTCCGTGACCTGTTTTGAATCGGCCAGGGAAATGTCATGTTGCCCCTCCCATGGGCAGTACTCGCATTCACTTGATTGGTAGAAAAAATGACTTGGGTTGGTTAAAAACCCACAGTTTCTGCATCGCAATTTATAGATGCCCGAATATCAATGAAATGTTTGATTTACTGGTGATATTCAGGTATATCTGACAGGTAGTACCAGCCAAACATGTTTGCTTAAGTGTTAAAAAATAAATAATTATATTTTTGATTTACTTTGAGGGTTTTTGCTGAAAGAATTGTTTTATCTCATTTAATTGCAGATTCCCTGGTGACTCTCCCTGATGAGGAAGATGATGAAGTATTAATTTGAGTTGTTCCTTCTAAACAGACAACTGCGTTAAGTTAAAATATCACAGCAATTAGAGGTTTTGAATCAAAATTTATAATTGAAACATAAATGGCAAAGTTTGTATATGATGGTATCATACTGTAGTTTTGTATTAGTTTAAACATTCTGGGAGCCACTGAAGGCAATTACGTGATCTAATAATGAGATTTAAATAGCAGTAACAATGCCACGCACACAAAAATAAAAGCAGTGAGAAAACAGCCATAAAGAAAGCATATGACAATATTAATATGGATATGGAGTCAATTAAAAATCTATTTTTACTCATTTTCATTAAAGAAATTCTGTAAAAATCTGTAAAAATTGCTTTTTTTTACTTTCAATGTTGAAAATTCAACTCTGAAGTTTAACAATTTGACCTTTATTGACATTTTTAGTGGTTTGAAACAGTATGTTGTATAATGAGTAGAATATATAGAAATCCTGGATGCTTGAAGTTAATAACAAAAAACAAAAACAAAAAAAAAACACTGGCAGTTTATTACCATTTTTTAATTTACTGTAATTTACAAGAACAACCCAGTCAAAACATAACTTCAAACTATTTAAGATGTCAATGAATTTGACTTTGCATCTTTTCAACACCAAAAGGAAAGATCCTATAATCCAAAAACAATAAAAAATAAATAAAATCAATAAAGTATTCATTTATTTACATGTTTTATTAATAGTTTAATAAAATAAATTTAAGACTATTTAAGACTAGTTTGAATTAATCATTTGCACATTGACTTTAAAGTACAAGATTTTTTTTGTTAAAACTCTTTTGATGCTTAGCAAGCAGCTAGCTCTCTGCAACTCTCACATGGTCACCCACTGAAGCTAATCAAGGCTGCACCCGGTCAGTACCAGGATGAGAGACCACATGGGATAGCTAAGTTGCTATCTGAAATGGATAACTTTAAGATAACTCTCGGTGGTCATCAAAAAATCTCAGGATGTCCTTTGAAAAGAATAGGGTAATTTTCCAAATTTGCCCACTGTCCTCTGTCCATCATGGCCTAACCATCCTTCATATCATAATTGGCTACATCACTCTGTCTTCTCTCTACCAATCAGCTGGTGTGTGGTGTGCGGTCTTTTTTCAACACATTTCTAAACATAATTAAAAAAATAAGTAGTTTTAACAACTCATTTCTAATAATGTATTTAATTCATCTAATAATGACAGTAAATTATATTTTACTAGTTATTTTTTATTTTTATTATTTTTCAAGACACTTCTATAGCTTAATATGACATTTAAAGGCTTAACTAGGTTAATTAGGTATAGGCACGTTTGGGTCATTAAGCAAGTTATTGTATAATGATGGTTTGTTCTGTAGACTATCGAAAAAAATATATAGCTTAAAGGGGCTAATAATTTTGACCTCAAAATGTTTAAAAAAACCTGCTTTTACTCTAGCCGAAATAAAACAAATAAGACTTTCTCCAGAAAAAAAAATATTATCAGACATACAGTGAAATTTTAAACATAATTTGGGAAATTTGTGAGGGGAATTCTGACTTTGACAGTAACAGAAAAGGTAAAGAAGCTAATTTTTGCAAACAATAATCTTGGAAGTCTAGGAAGGTATTTTTATTTTTATTTAGATGTTGTTATAAACTGTTCACATGTTGGAAATTGAATAGTGAATTTAACATTAAAATTTTATATATCCCTTTTAATTATTTTAAAGAAAGAAATGCATGTTTAGATAGAGTTCACAGTTATTATTCTTAAGGATGCCAATCTGTATCAATTGTTCTCACTAATAAAGCATTTGAACAACAATTTTCACTTCATAAATTTGAACAATAGTCATTTGCCCAGTGAAGATGTCACATGCACTGTGCAGTGTGTTTGAACTTGCTTGGCATGTCTTCAAGAGAAAAAAAAACTTCAAATCTCTTTAAGTAAATTCATTAGATTTCTCCCACACAGAGCTCCCATTAAGAGAAAACAAAGGCTATCGTGACTCTAACTGACTGTAATTGACTGTGCAGTGAATGGGCTCAGTCTACTGCAGCTCTCTAGCTTGAATGCTGCTGGAGAGCTGCAGACATGAGTAACTGTATGCATTCTTCTGCCACAGTAAAGAGTGCTCCAAGAATGGTCTTTAGCTTTCCGCATGCCGCATACAGCACAAAACCAGCGGAATGCACAGCTTTGGAGGCCATCTCAATGGCTGTGAAGCCGAACAATAAGATCTTGGCTCTCAAACCCATTTCATTCTTTAGTCTTGCTCTGCCCCCAACGCTTTCACTTTCTTCACACTGTACAGAAGAAAAAAAAAATCACTGCCCGCTATACTTTTGCATTGTGCTTGCTTAAAGTTTTTTGCGAGTTAGTTAAACAGTATCATTGACCTTCTAAATCTCTAGAACAGAGTGTTTTTGGCTGGTAGCTGCAGTTTTTGTGTGTAAACAGTGGCAGTCCCTCTTTTGGAAACCCCTGTGGAGCTGTTCTCCAAACACTAGTCTCACCAGACCCCACTGACCCCTCCGGGACAGGCTTAGAATCAATTACCAATTTCTCCTTTAACTATCTGTCATGTACTACGGATGGTTATTGGGTTATGACTTGATCAGGCTGATCACTGCGCTCTGACCCTTTTTTCAGGGATTATGTGATTATGGCCTAATTCCTTGTAATCTACTGCTAACTGGTCCATTGCCAGAGTCACAAAACAACTTTTCCATACTGCTGTGCTTCTGAACAGACCAGCATGGTCCAAAGTGCTTGCAGCCCAGTTACCATAGAAACTACTATAAGATGTCAGATATATATCATTAGCTAAAACAATCCCAGGAGGGGGTATCGCACTAAAGACGTTTGCTACTTTCACAGGGTTTCAGGTTGTAAAGCAACAAAGTGGAATTTTAGCCCAACTCCAGAAATTAATTAGTTTCATTAGTCGGTGGATAAATGGCAATGGCTGGTGTGTTGGATTCCAGCAGAGATTCACCATAGAGGGTTAATGGGAGTCTGGCCTGGAAGCTTTCCCAGCTCTGGCCCAAGGCCATTTCAGCCAATCACTCTAAACTTGTGGTCAAATTTTATGCCTCTGCCACAGCTAAAAGTATATTTAGAGAATCAAAGGTGAATGGGTTTGCCACGGGTACTTGCTTGCTTAAAATAAAATGTAAACAATAAACCATATTTTCAAAATGTATTTTTAAAGTGATAGTTTATCCAAAAATGAAAAATACATTTTTAATGTACTCACACTGCACCTGTTCCAGATTTATTTAAATTTGTGTGTGTGCTTGTGTTGAACACAAAGTAAAATATTTTGAATAATGTTGTAAACCAGTAGCCGAAATCAACCATTTACAAAAAATCTTCAAAATATCTTCTTTTTGTTTTAAACAACAGCAACGGTTTTGGAACCACTTGCATGAATGTTATTTCATTCATTTATTTATTTATTTATTTATTTATTTATTTATTTATTTATTTATTTATTTATTCTCTACATATTTTCAAAATGTATTTTTAAAGTGATAGTTTTTCCAAAAATAAAAAATAATTTCTTCATTTACGCATGTTCCACCTGTTCCAGACTTATTTGAATTTGTGTGTGCATGTAATGAACACAAAGTAAGTTATTTTATAATGTTGTTAACCAGTAGCCAAAGTCAATAATTACCATTTACCAATAAATCTTTAAAATATCTTCTTTTGTGCTCAACAACACAAGTTTTAAAAACCTCTCGCATAAATGTTAATTTTTGGGTGAACGGTCCCTTTATTTATTTGTTTATTTATTTATTCGCTTACGAATATAGAAAGTCAAGATTTCTATATAGTTGTTGTTCTATATAGTTGCATTATTTATTGAAACTAATACTGTGTGTGTGTGTGTGTGTGTGTGTGTGTGTGTGTGTGTGTGTGTGTGTGTGTGTGTGTGTGTGTGTGTGTGTGTGTGTGTGTGTGTGTGTGTGTGTGTGTGTGTGTGTGTGTGTGTGTGTGTGTGTGTGTGTGTGTGTTACAGCTGCATTTGTGTTACAAATCCCTCCCCGCTGAGAAATGTTTATAATAGGGAGAAATCAGTTGGACAGCAGTGAGGTTCATGCCAGCGAACAACTGAAAGGTCTGTTTCATAGATTCCCTTTTGTGAATATTAAAACGAGACCTGGTGAAAAATGATGCATGCTTTTACACTTTAGAAACCTGGCAACTAGGGGAAAAACCCTCTCAAGTCCATCCTGTCGAACAAAAGGCGCTCGACGCATTGAGCTAAGATGCAACGAGTTCTGCGTCCCGGGCACATGACGTGCATCATGGAAACATATTGTATCGAAATCGTTTGTGGGAGAAAACCGGGGATGAAAAAGAATGGGGCGCTTTGATCCGCGCCCTGGGGTCCCGAGCTCCCCGAGTGCGCGCAGACTGACTGCAAGGCCTTATTCACTTTCAGATAGACACACTTACAAACGCTACTGAATGAAATTAGCATATTTGTAATTTATCACATTTTAGCCCGACTTTTCTGTCTCTTTGCGGAAGGTGGAAGTCTGAATAAAAAAGTGGATCAATTATCAACGCGAAGCTGTTCCCTTCTCATAGCAGAATGCTGTAGTTTGGGAATTACAAAAAACTAGCTGCTGTTAGGGTAAAAAAGAAAACTTGAAAAAATGAAAAGGTTGAACCAACTGAATTTATAATTGATTTTTATTTTTTTAGCTGAAAATATTTGCATAAACAAAGGTTTATCCTTAAGTGATGTCAGAAAGCTGTGCTTTTCCCCATCACCAATATTATTTCTGAAAATTCTGAAAATACAACCATCCTACTTCCATGGTTAAGTCCAATATGCAATATGTAGCACTCTGTCGAGTCTTGTTGCAAGTTTGCTTAAGCTCAACCAGCCTACTGGAAAATTAGGCCAAGTAAATTACTAACAAAATCGTATTGCATAATTTGCACATACGGAATTGCAATGAAGCTCAGACCTGTTGCATGTCTTTGCGCAGAGAGGTGCATTGCATTCCCCAGGAGATGGGTTTAAAAAAAGCAAAAAAAAAAAAAAAAAAAACATTAATAAAGCTAGGGGATCTGGCCATTGAAATGAGGTGACAGGCAGGATCTGGATGTTTTAGCACTGACACAAAACCGCATACGGTAACTACATGCCTGCCTTGAAATACGAGAGTTTGAATAAAGGAGCAGTAATATTTCATATGGGGCACGCAAAAGCTGGATACAATGCCTCTCATATTAAGAACAATATTCAGTCCTTTCTGTGGTGAACAAAGATCATAGCAAGACGTCTTTGAGGCTAATTCAGTCAAAGGCACATTTTGGCTTCCCCCGCGGTAAGGTCAGTGTCGTTGTGTATGGTCCACCAAGGGTGGTATGGGGTTCCATGGCCAAGCAAAGCCAGCTGTCCCTGGTGTAGGGCGACCAGTCTGAATTGTTATTATAAACTGCCAGAGCTACTATTGTGGCTATTCGTGAACCTTGTGTTATGAGTTTAAAGTTCAACTTATTTTTTCTTCCCCATTATATGAGATAATGCAAGTTTTGTAGTATGGTCAGCTATGGCTTCCAAAGTAACAACTGGACTTTTAAATTAAGATCTTCTTGAAGTTTGCTTTGACCGTGACTTGGAAGAACACAAACACCATCCGCTGAACTGTTGTTTTCCGTCGATCAAGCACCATGCCATCTTTCACAAAAAATAATAATTAAAATTAATCAGTTATCTTTATGATTTTATGCTATATCATTTTAAGTGACTTAATGCTTAGGGTTGTGGTTTTAAACTTGTAGACAGACGTCTTTAACAAAACTATGGACATGCAGGTAATCACAAGAATTAAAACGTAATTCACTTTTAATACATGAATCAAGTCAATTTTTACCGAATCATAATTTAGTGACGTTTAGAGATAACGTTCATTAAAAAAATGCTTTTAACAAAAAAACATATATAAACATATCCATGAATAAAGTACGCCAGATGTATAGATGTGTAAGAAAGTGCACCTCGGAGATGAAAATCTGAAGTCAAATCTTGTGCACCAAAGATTTTTCTTGAATTTAAGCCTTGGGTTGAAGAGGGAGAGAGACCGTTTTCAAACTAGAAAACTCTAGCTGGTTCAAATCTTTGCCGGTTCGCTCTTGTCAACCGGGCGTCCCGTGCGCAAAAACCAAGCTTGCCATGGTGATGTTTTATTTTCCAAAGCACAATGTCATGGCACAAGCTTATTTTTCCTGGATGTAACTGGGGTCTTTTGTTAAGAAAGAGAACGAGGAGCTACCCAATGGGCTCATTCTATCCTTTTATGCTCAATTGAACAATATTTTCTTTTTCTTTAAAAAATCCTGCACGCGTGCGCGCTTTTGTACACTTGTTCCACCGGATCCCGTTTGGCTGCTAAGAAGTTAAATGCTTCGCAATAGACACCGGTTGCTGAGTCGAGGGTTTCTCAGTACAAAGGCTGCTGCTTTCGCACCATATGCTTAATGGACACAGCCGTAAAGGCCATAATAAAGGTAAAACGTGGTCTTTTAAAAGTTGGAAAGGTTCCCTTTATTTGATTTAGATGGAACAGACTACGTGCGCACAAACCAAAGCGCGCCCCGGCATTGACTCGCTCTTTCTTTTCTGAGGCACTGCAGCCACCACGTAGTGTGTTTCATTACAACATAAGCTTTTCATCACCCGGCTTTGTTCTGAATGAAAGTAATGCTGTGAATTAAAGAAATGACAATATTTTCTATCAGCTTGAAGGTCCAAGAGAAGGGCTCTCGAGCTTGGCAAAAATCAGGCACATCATTCATCATGTCACCCCGCACCTGTGGTCCTGGCATTCAAAGTATACAAACCTATTCTTATTAACCTTAATTATTCAAAAACGACACAATGGCTGAAATAGAGCAGGTTGAAGTCTGTTTATTGGTCGTAAATGTCCCTCTGAAGATCTCCAAGGCTCTTTGTTAGTCCCGCGCGGCGACCGCTCTTCTCCTTTCAGACATGAGTAGCCTTGGACTTTTCAGTTTTCAATCGTAACATCTGCTTAATCGTACGGATCAAAATATGGAGACACCAAACATTTGCAGTGAAGGATTTGTTAAATCCGGGTAATGAGTTATTAACAAGACGAAACAATGGAGCGGGATGGTGAGGGCCTTATGTTAACGGAGTCACTTTACGAAGCGCCTCGCATTACCCTTCTTTCTAAGCGGGACGCCAGGTGATGGCGAGGACATCAATGTCCTTAGGAGGCAGCGCTTTTTTTCTGCACGTGAAAAATTAGTGGACATAAATTTAATGGCTCGATCGAGCCACAGAAACGCGTCTATTACCCGTGGACTTGCGTGGAGGACAAAACAATACTGCTGGCTGCCTCGCGTTGGCTCCCTAAATCCGGGTGGATCATTGAAAATGTGTTTTATTATAACGCACGTCATGCTTTACTGTTCCCATATTGTGTCGGGACAAAGGCTAATGGTACATTAAAGACAAGAAACCCATGCCAACACGTCTTGGAGACGTTGTAGACGGAGACGGGCCTCCCTCTTTGCTTGTTTTAAGCAGCTGCTGTCCAGGACCCGGGCGCACAAAAAGAACAAGTTTGAAATACCAGGTGCATCGAGGAGAAACTCGTCATGTTCAAGCTCAGAACACTGTCCTAGCAATAAAGATATCATGGCAATTATCTGCAGACTCAGCACCGTGTAAAACCAGGGGCGCCTGCTGCAGAACAGCCTGTACTTTGGCAACAAAGTCTCCCGACCCGGGGTGCTCGATGAGCCCGCTTTCTCGAGCACCTGTTAGCCGAGGTGATATTTTTGGACGAATAATTAGTGATATATTTGCTGCATTGAAGATCACGCTGTACCCCCAGAGGCGACTCGGACATGGGGGATTTAGTGGGATTTAAAGAGTTTGGGTATCAACTGGTGTTTGTTCAAGCTGGCAGCTGGCACCCCGATGCCACTGTTGCCATGCACTAATGAAAATGCGCCAGACTCAAAGATTTTCAGTCTTATCCTCCATATTTTTTTGCAGGCGATAATCCGAATGTGAGCAGATTTAAAGCTTATGAGAATCTTGATAGGCGTCGTTCCCAGCTTAGTGCGCATTGTAAGATTGTTGACACTGATAGTTATAAACCGTGCGTAATCGTTCACTTTCTTTAATACAATTAGGTGTAGACTACATATGAAACTCAAACATTAATGGGGCGACAGCGGATTTTTTGTACAATATTTATTCTACGAACACTCAGTCAAATTATAGAAAGTTTCAATGTAATTTTTAGGACTTTTATATAATTGTAAGTATATATTTATTAAAAATCCAAGACGTACCGAACTTGCAACTTGTAGGCTATTGTAATTCCAGTCGGCGAACAATATTAATAACTACCCGCGGCCATCCACAGACGCGGACTTTGTAAAAGAGCCTGTGGGACGGTGAAACGCACAGTAAACGGGTTAAACCCTGACAAGCAACAAATGGTCGCCTTTTAAGCTTTGCCAAGCCAAATCCCAAAGTGACAAAATAGAATCCTGAAAAGATCCAGCGCATCAGCCTTTTTCTTCCGCTCCATCGGCGCTCTTCCAAAAGATGCTTTTAAGGGTTTTGTACTGTGCCTGTTTTGAAACACCCTCTTTCACTAAGATGCGGTGCCAAAATACAATGATAGCAGCATTTTTTGTTTCCCCCTAATCAAATTGAAATGTTACCACGGGCAAATAGTTGAAATCGCCAGAAGACGTTTGGGGTCTTTTATCTTAGTTAAGTCTGACTTGCTAACATTTGACTTTCTAATGAGCATAATGGGATTACATGCTTTTAGTCCTGCGCCCTGGATAGCAGAAATCAGCGCGTTTAATGAGGCGCTAATACTCGGAAAGGTTGGATTATGTCCATCAGTTAAAAATTTCATTTAATTAATTAAATATTGATGACACTAATTAAATATTTGTCCTTATATAACTAAATAGGTAATTGACCAGTACGCATTAGTTAAGTACTACATCAAATATATAATATTTACATTAACAAACTGTGCACCAATAATATGACTGTAGAACAAGCAAGATGAAACATTATATTATAAACAACATGATTAAAGTATCAAATCAATACCTGTTATCCCAATCCCTGTCCATCCATGATTTTAGCCTCCGAGCGCTCTGCATGAGTTTAGATTGGACATGTGGACATGGGCATGTGTTTGGGTACCTCTTAATAACTGCGAGAGCTGACGTAGAGACAACTGGGTACACAGAACACAAGTGGATACCACGGGAAAATTTAGCCTTGAAGCACCTGCAGTGTACCCAGGCCAATTGCCCAAGGCAAAGGAAACGTCATGCCTCTTTTACCAATTTAGAACCGCACTTTAAAACCTACTACTCCGTTCTCTCCTGTTTAGTTATTTATTTTTCACCCAAACTGTCACAGTCACAGCGAGGGTCCGTCAGATTTCCATAATGATAAATAGTGACATCTTTCAGCTGTTGTTTTGCATTTTATCCAAGGCTTCACACCTCACATTAACGTATCTATTCAGAAATCACGTTACAGTTAATCGCAGGATTTGACTCTGGCCTATTCATTGTCACAGAATAAAAGATGACCTGTCTGTAAGATATATCATCATATAAGCCTCTATTTACATGTTTTCATATTGTAAACGTAAAAAATAAATAGTATTACATATGCATGTTTGCATTTTCAATGCTCAACTCATTCTGCTGTCGAGTCATGTTTTTTAATTTTTTTGGGGTGTATTTTGGAGTGTTTTTTTTTTCATTAGTACGCTAAAAAATTCAAACAAACGTGAGTGAAATAAAAAAATTTTATTGGATCATCATATCAGTATAAATATAGACAAATTTCGTGTTCCGTTTGTATAAAAATAGTTTTTGTTTGAGATAAAATCCGTATTAAATTAGAAAATATATATTACAGCACAATTAAAACAATTAAATACGACACAAACATGATTGCCAGTGGCCTTATCTTCAATTCAGACTAAAAGGCTGAAACACAGATAGTCACAATAATATATTACAAATAAACAAAACATGGAAATATCCATACAATTCAGTTGTACACAATGTGTATATACGGGATACTAATAGCAACATTGCCTTAGGAAATGAAATTAAAGGGGGGTTCATTCTCAATATTGTTTATTGATGATTTCAAGTGCAACTTTCGTGGGTCCTCTGGTGTCCAGACTTTCGCTGTCCGAATGATATTCTGGTCTTTTAACTGCTTCTCATCAGTCCATGAAAGAGAGTGTCCTGCGAGAGGAGGCAACCCGTAGTCTGGGTCATTTGGAGATGGGGATCCTGAAAAGAAAAAAAGGAAAGAGTTGTTTTAATAACAAGATAATAATAATAATAATAATAATAATAATAATAATAATAATAATAATAATAAGCAATGATATACATACTTGTTCCTCGGTGGCAAATGATGACTTTTTTCGGTTGGTTTAAGGCGTCACTGTGTGGATTCCGAATTGGCATGTCCGACTGCACCAGTTCCGCAAGAAAGTTTATGTAGCCAATTGCTAGGCGTAAAGTGTCAACTTTTGAAAGTCTCTTCTCGTATGGCAGTGTTGGGATGTGAGATCGCAGTCCCTCGAAAGCATCGTTAATGGACTGCATCCTCCGTCGCTCCCGGACGTTGGCAGCTTGACGCAACTGTTGCATCTCCACTTCAGACCTCATGCGCCTCCGCCTCTTCAGTAAGCCTCCGTCTCTGTGAGGGGACAGCTCTGAGGTGCTGTCCGCGCATCCGTAAGAAAAAGTCGAAGATGACGAGGAAAAGGAGAAGTTGCCAACGTCACAATAATCTCCGTCCTGTGATATCCGACTATCCTTGTAATATTCTTGAATTTGGTTGGTAAGAAAATCGACATCCTCGTCCAGAAAGTCGTCTGTGTCCAAGTGGTCTCTCGAAGAGTGGTCCGTAAAGAAGTCATCGTCGTCGAAATAAGAGGAGGAGAAAGAGTCTAAGCCTGTGAATGGATCCAACACAGTGTCCATTTTTTGTGCTGTGTTGGTGTTGCCCAGTAACAACAATCGCCTACTCTTCGATCTTTTCCTCTTGATGCTCAAGAGTTAGTTCAGTTTGAAAGGCGGCACGCGAGGACTCTTATAACTACATCCATAGTCGCGTGCCATTGACCGTAAGCGCCAACCAATCAGCGCCAAGCATCGCCAGCGCCCGCATCTGAGACAGCTCACCTTAGGATAAGGCATGTTTGCAGGCCAACCCCCCAGTACACGCCCCCTGAGCCCAAAACACCCAGACAGGACATGCTACTAAATTGATGACAAAGCGACTGCCTATATTGACAACTGTATCAGAAATGATCTGTCCCTCAGTTACAGTAAATAAACGACCAGAATAAATAGAACGTTATTGACGTTATATTAAACAAATCTCTTCATATTGTTTACATACAGCTTGATCAATCTGCACTTAAAAATGACAATTGTAATTTGCTGGAACATATATATTTTTAGATTTTTTTAGGACAACTTAATTATTTTATGTTCAATCCACTTAAAGTTGTTAAAAACTAATAAGTTAACTTAATTCCTTATGCTGTCTCAACACAAATCAGTTGTGTGGAACCCAGGATTTTTGTAAATGGAATAACTATAAACAATGAAACAATCACGTTTTTACATAACCTAATATTGAAACTATATTAATTTACGGAGTTGTGTCATAATTTATTTACAAGTTTAAAAATGTTTGAGATTCTTTATATTGTTGAACACAGAATAAGATATTTTGTACAATGTTGGAAATCTTTGCTTATTGACCTTCATAATATTTTTCTTAGTTGTAGTAGTTTTCAACATTCTTCAAAATATCTTCTTTTGCGTTCAACAGATAAAGAAACTCAAAAAGTTTTGATCCACTTGATAGAAAGTATAGTTTAAAAAATGTAAGCTGTCACTTTATAATAGGCTATAATTAATTTAAGTACATTTCAATCAGTTTTGTAGTTATTGTGTGACAAATGCGCAATATACTTATATATTTAGATTCTTGTGCTAAAAATGAGAATAACCAATGTCCATCACATATGTATCTCATCAAAAGAGTTTGTTTTACTTTCCTACTATCTGGATATTAAAATCAAATATAGTTCACTCGGCTACTTTTTGCTGATTGTTGCAAGGACGTTCGACTTAAAGCCTATTTCTCCGGATATTCCGCAATCAGAGAGACAATAGCGGCAGTTAAGGGACATGGTGTGCTCGCTTAATTATTGACACTTGAATGTCTGCCCGTTTGTTTTTTCACCATTAACAGTGACTGGATAAAGTGCACCCAGTTATCACGTGTAATTAAGGGGTCATGGAGGTATAGGCCTACTGTTGACCTGTCACCTTGAGGCTCCTCTTAAAGCAGGTAACCATTCAAGCGCCCATCATTCGCGTGCGCCAAGCCCCTTCCATCGGCCTCTTAATTATCAAGACATGAAGCTATGTTAAAGCCCCATTGGTTTTCCACGAGGCCCATACAATACAGCACAAACATTTGTGTATGAGTGATGTCAGTGAAAGGAGCTGTCATTTAACTGGCAGAAAGGCTAAAGAATAGGTCTCTCATCAATCACGGGTTGTAGGATGCCTGGCCGCACGTTTGTATCGAGGCAGTGGACACTCGCCTGTTCAGGAAACAATCACAAGAATAAAGCGAGAGCTTCAGTGGTAAAGCGGGGGCGTTTTTAGCTTTCAACACGAACAACCCATAGTCACCCTAATCGACAATGCCTGTTCTTGAAAAGGCGGAGAAATATAAAATGGCAAAACAAACAAAAATGACTCTCGCTCAATGAAGAGTGCTAAAGATTGAATGAAGGGACGCCCTGTTTGCAGGAGAGATCCGCGAACAATTCAAATTCAGTTTAACTCTTAAAAAAAGATTCTTTAGGGAAATTAATATAACATCTTTTTATATATTATTTTATAGTAGAAAAATGCAGATTATTAAAATTTTCCTAAAAACCAAGAAATAAAAGTTTACTTAAGAAGAAAGATATTTACCCAAAAATACTTTGTGGCATCACTGCGTATAAAAAAAACAAATAAATATAATGAATAAACAAAAGAAAATACGTTGGAACCAATGTTTTTGTCTCAACTGTGTAAAAAGTCGACTATTTAACCGATATTTGATATAAAAAATTATATAACGGTGTTTTAGGCCAACCATTTGATATAAAAATATTAATATTTTATATTATTTTTTAAATATTGTGTATTTTAAAAAAAATATGTGGATTGAGCACAAAAAATAAGGTGTCCCTATGAAATCTAAAGAATTGTGTTGTTTCAGCTCATTTTAAATTAGTTTGGTGCAAAAAAGAATTGAGTGAATGATTGAATTCAAACGTTATCGTAAAAGGGCCAATTTAAAATGCAACATATAAGAAATTAATTTGTTAAACAATAGAAACAGGACTGGCAGCTCATGGTTGTAACAATGTGTCCAAATAGACAATATATCGTTTCACTAGTAAAATACCAATAAATGTCACTTTCAATTGCCATTTTAAACGCTAACTTTCTATCTTAATTTTACTGAAATTAGTCAATTAATCATAGTCAAAAATCTGTAAACCATTTGAAATACATTATAATTTTATTGGCTTATAAACTGTCTATTAGATTGGATAAGTAGATACCAGTTAATCTGCATTTAAAATAAAAACCGTAAAGTTCAGTTTTCAAAAGCGTCATGCTTCCTGTCCGACAAATTCCCATAGACTTTTTCAGAAAAAAAGAAGGTTTTGTCATATAAATAAAGTGGGCTCTTTTATGCTTCCATTTAACACGAGACATCATTATACAAGTCCTTGAACAACAAACACGAATAAATATAGCCCTACCAGCGAAGAAAGGACAAGCAGCGGCTTTGGTTTTATTATGTAGGGGGGCTGGTACTGGCATTAAGAGCAGTGTGCCTCACAGTGGTCGCCAATGAGGAGGTTTGTAAGACACCTCACAACAAATTATGCTGGTACCTGAGATGCTAACTGGTAGGAGCCCATAAACAACCCTTATTCTCTGCTATTCAAATAAAGATGGAGGGGGTCACTTTGTTAGTAAAAGGGGAAAAGGGGTCTGGTGAGTGGTTGTTGCACCCCGCTGCAAGCTGCAACGCGAGGGACAATCCGTGGGAATCACACCACTTGCGCGCTCTGCTCTCAAAGAGACCCACTGCCGACACTGAATGAACACAGCAGACGTACAGCTTGTATGCTAAAACACGTAGTTAGAATATTAAGGTGTTGATAAATGTCTTTCTTTTTTGGTAAGAGGACTGTTGTTTAATTTATAGTTTAAAGCTGGCGCGGCGCGAATCCATCAGAACGCACGTCTTCCATATTTAGCGCATGGCATATTGGGCTGTTTTTGTTTATCATAATATCTAGCTAACTACTAACATAAACAGGAAAGGTCACTGAGCGGATATTTATTCAAGCGCTCAAAGTTCAAGTGCGTAAGGCGCATTTGACCTCTTCACGAACAGGAATGGTACACCTGTAGACCACTGTGGAGAGACACAAGTGGCACCTGAATGCCCACCGGTTGTTCGGCAAAGCGAGTCAATCAGCCATTAAGCACAGACAGGACCGTGACCGTCACCTTTGCG